ATGGATATATATACTTCAGATTAATTATCTTATATATCATCACTAACGGGGAAAAAATCGCGTTTTTAACCTTGTTTAATGATAACACTAAAATTTTCGACGACAATTTTAAAGTAATGGATCCCACCCACAATTAGCCGTGTTTCGATTTTATTGGCCGTATGTTCCTAAACAGCGAGGAAACATAATGTGTGCCGTGGGCACACGAAACTTTGCGATTTTCAAAAGCGTTTTTAGATTAGAAAAGCGTTTTTAGACTGTCACGGGACTCAACAAATCTTATAGCCTATTGTTTACGGTTTTGTTTCCAGTATTTTATATTGGCGATTTTCAGTCAAATTTAGATCGCGGGTTTACTCCTTCATTTGTCTTTAGAACCTCGCCGGTCGCCGCCGATGAACGTATAATAACTCTCACCGAATTCACAATTCCTTGCAAAGTACAAAAATAAAATAATCATCATGTTTATCGTGGCACAAATTTGTGATTTAGAGAGAATAAATACCGACGTAAAGGCGTTTGCGGCCTAAATAACACACTGATGAAAACAATCGGCGATTTTAGCAGAAGGCAATTGCACACTTTTTCAGTTTTCACAATTCCGTGCGAGTACAAAAATAAAATAATTATAATTGTTCCCGTGGCACAAATTTGTGATTTAGAGAGAATGAATACCAACGAGAAGGCGTTTACGGCCCACATAACACGCCGCCTTGATGAAAACATACGGCGATTTTAGCAGAAAGCAATTGCACGCGTTATCGGCGACTTTTTCTGTTTTCAAAAAAATTCAAAAGAGGGGGTTTCGACCCCGACCCCCCCTGGCTGCGCCACTGCATGTTGCCCATTTCCTCCATCGCTACAACTGGACATCATTGATATTTAATAGATTTACATCATAGTCTTAATCAAACAGCGAACTGCGAGAATGTACCATCTTCTCAATCAAACAGCAACCAGTTCGTACGTAAGAGCTCAGCCAGAAAAAAACGTAACGTACAGACTATGTGTTTCTGCGAAAAAAATGCTTGTTCCATGCAGGGTTGCCAGACCCCAGCGATCAAAAAACGCCAAATCAAGACATAAAAAAAAGCCAGAAAAAGCCAACAATTTTACTAAGTACAAAAGCCCCATGATTTGTCAGATTTTAAGCCCTTGGCAACATACTGATGATGATGTAGAGCCATCAGTTCATTCAGCGAGGCACACAAATAGAAAGTAAAGTTCCTATAGAACTTTAGAAAGTAAAATAAATATCAAGCGGACAGCCTTATTTTACCATTCAAAATATACAATACAGGGTGCCGCTTCAGTCTGTCAGTATATAATATACCTACATGTTTCTACTTAAACTTGTGATATACCTTAAAAAAGTCTCCCTATATCGTACTTTACTATTGAAAATTTTTTTACTTTTAAAATTTATAAACCATCAATTTTATTAAAAAATTATCTAACCCTCTGCCGCTCGCAAGTGGACCACTGATATCTAATTCAGTAATTTTAGCGTAGTTAATCACATCGTTACTGCAATTGCAGAATTAAACTAAAGCTCACATAAACCATATCAGGCATAATGAAATTAAGTTATAACAGTTACGGGTACAACTATTTTTTGGAATCAGAACGTAAAACTGACAAAAAACACGCAAAACTATAAAAACGAGGCAATGATTACAACCCTGCTTGAACATCTGTCTGAGCAGTTGCAGAAACTGCAATTATTTTTTATTGGGTATGGTTACAGGGTTAAGAGTTAATGTAACAAACAAGGAAATCGATGCTCCAGGAAATCCTAATGTTAAGTACCGGTAGCTAATAAGTACAGGTAATAGGCTACCGGTATTGTTCAGTTGTTACACACTAAATATCGTATTTCATATGATTTGAATAATAGACACTATAATAGACTTGAAAAAAGCCAAAAAAACGCCAAAAAGCCAAACGGAAATTCTGACGCCAAACGCGTTTGAAAAAAGCCAAAAATGGCAAATTTGGCGTTAAAAAAGCCAATATGGCAACCCTAGTTCCATGCTCGCCTGCATGTAAAATGAGGATCTGAAACGAGGCATCTTTCGAGTCGAGTTTTGTCCAATCAGATAACGTTGATTGTTGATAATATTGTTACATCATATTGGTTGTCTACTATTTACGTTTGTTTTCACGTCACCCCCTACATCAGTGGTTCTCAACTTTTTTACTTGACCGCTTACCACCGACAAAGCCCCCCTGTTTTGGGGAAGGCAACAATGGCATAAGAAACGCGCTTTGAGCTTTGTGCAAGGTTTGAACGTTAAATATTTAATTAATTAAATGCAATTAATTTAATTTTATATGTAGCTACAACCAACGGCTACAACGTATCAATTGCGTGCAAAATCGTGAGAGAATTTGCGTTATATACCGTCGGGACTGAAAAGCTTTAATTATCGCTATCACTGATTTATCCCAAACCTCGGGCGAATATATTCGGAGGTAGGCTACACTTTCGCATCGACATGCTTAATATTTAAGTCAATGACTTACTGATAAATTACCCCTAAAACTTGAGAATATGCGTATCAGCCAGCACATTAAGCAGGGTTCATCGACAACTCCCACCGAACGCTCCTTTCGTGGCCGATTTCTCAATGCAGATGCATTGCGAGCTAACACGAAAAACGGGCGAAAACATGCCTGCCTGGTTTCGTTGCAGTTGTTTATAAATCTTGAAGTTAAATTTCTTTTGATTTTTTGCTGAATTCAGGAATTGTGGATCCCATTTTACTTTTCCAGAAAATTCACGACACGTGTCTTTCAAGTTGAATTATACTAAAAGCTCACTTTTTATTAGTTGTACGGAGCATCTGTTTCTTTCACTGCGCCATTTAGATAACATTACACTAAAAATGGTTTCAGGAATTGAGAGTACAAATATTACCATTATGAAAACATTAACACACTTACGATTAAAACTTTTCAAGATAAAGTGCCATTTCAGTTATTGAACTAGAATATACTCAAATCGTGTTGCCATTTTCGGAAAATTAATGTAAAATATTTGAAATGGTAATAAAATTGTTTTATTTCTTCGGCTATTTGAGTCGGACCAAAGCGAAATTAAAAAGAATAATTAAAAGCTTGCAAATACATAAACGGACGCGATTTCTTGAGAACGAAACAATATCAAACACAGTACTATAACTATCGGACAAAACGTGGTTGGAAAGAATAAAGAACAATTAGCATGCTAAAAAGGACAAGGACCTAATTGAAGACAAGGACTTAATTAAAGGATTGTCCTTTGAAACAAGAGAGCTATGCTCAAATATATGGACACGTAGCGCCACCCAATGGCAATAATTTTGATGACGTCATAGCGAAAAAAAAGTAATAGCCTTCTGGAGAAAAATTCTCTAACCACTGAAAATTTCAAAGCAATTGGTCCAGTATTCGAAGAGAGAAGCGATTTTTTAAAAAGGGGGAAGGAGACAAATAACAATACCAACAAAATTTTGAAACGATCGTTATGTCCATTTCGTGTCCAATAAAGAAGGTCGGCAACCCTAGGTGGTACGCGTACCAAAGATTGAGAACCACTGCCTTACCTAACGTGTTTCCCCGAAAATAATACTGGGTCTTATTTCAATTTTCTTCCGAAAAATACCACTAGGGCTTATTTTCGGGGGATGTCTCATATTTTTATTTATCAAAAACAAATCTACAAAGTAGAGAATTCCGAATATACAAAATTGATATTCATTTACTTATAAATAACGTTTTTATTCACAATAACTGCAAAACAAAAATGATTAATCATTCAAAACGCGTAGGAGAGATTCCTTATCTCTTCTACGCGTCGACCAGGTCAAAATCGACAAAAAAAAATCGGTCAAAAAAACTTCGTATTATTGCCTATAGGTCTTATTTTCAGAGGAGGGCTTATATTGAAATTATTTTTCAGGCTAAAGTCTTATTTCTTAAATTCAGGCTAGGTCTTACTTCCGGCAAAACACGGTACATAAATTCGTAGCCTACGATATTCCTCCCCCAGATGGACTACCTTCGATATAAAATTCAAACGCAACGTGATTTTGGAGAAAAGCTTTCGTATATTGATCAATATATCAATCAGTTTGGACACATTGTGAGTCGTCATAAAATTACTGACTTGGCGACAAATATACTTCGAAAATTGTTTTGTACTGAAGAATCCAATCGAGAAACAATTAAAAATGCTGAGTATTTGATCCAGAAAGATAGCAGCCACAACGATGAAACTCGAATGACGTGATATAGTCACTTTGATGCTTTTGTTGCAGCTTGCAGGCGATGAAAACGAAGAGGGACGGAGGTGTGCTTATGGAGGTCGAATGGCGGCGGCTGAGAAAGAAACGCTGTTATATAAGACAAGCAGGCAGAGGCCAGAAAACATGGAAAAGTTGTATGAAGTAGGCCTACTAAAAACAATCAAACCTACGTCAGTGGAGGATGTGCGTGCATTTTCATCACTTTGATTTTTATCAACAAAATCAGCTTAATGATGACACTCTCGGTGCTTTCATGTTTTTGCGTTAGTTTTCTAGGAAATAAACAGGACTGCTTATATCATTTGTGTGGGTTTCTTAATTCTATTAATCTAATATGTTGCAAATCTTGAGCTCGGGATTCAGATCTGGTGCCGATATAGCAACTCTAGTCGCGTGCCTCCTAATGGTGTTTCGGTTTTATGTACTCGATAATGCGTAACAAAAATAAGCTTACAGGGGGTAATAAATGAAGCTTGAAAAATACCGATGAAAAGTTGTTCAGGCCTAACGTTGCAGCTCGCCCTGAATTCGATCGGCGAATATAACAAAACGCAATCGCACGCCTTTCGGACCTTCTTATCCGCATATCATATTTAATATATGATGCCACCCATCAGTTATTTCCCTAACCCCCCCTATAGGGGTGAACACCCTCCTAACATTTCGATACCAAAGGTACTAGGCCTAGGGTGACAAAATGGTAAGCTAGAAATTAATTTCTTGTTTTTGTATTAGAACTAACAAACACAAATGGTGTTTTAAATATACAGTAAAACTAATCATGGCAAATATATATTATGCTAATGTTGGATGCAAGCTTGCTGCATTTTGTCGCAAAATATCCCCATCAAAGGGATAACTCTCAATGCAGGTTTTCAAATCATCTTTGCTAAGTGTATACACATCAACATATGTTCTAGCTCGTACAGAGAATGAAAGACGAGTCTGTAAAACAAAATATTGATCGACTGTTAACGAAAAGACTTGGACGTTAAACTCGACATAAAATCATTGAAACCACCAGGATCAATCTATAACTTACTGCTCTAAGCGCACATTCCGATAAGAAAGTTTCTCCGTCCATCATTAATCGTATGGGAATGTTTTTGCCTTTCTCATCTTGTTTGAATATTTCGGCCACTCCACGATGTATAACAAACATGTCGCTTCGAACATCATCCTGTGAATAAAAATAGTAAAATATTGCTTATTTCATAAATACTGTAAAGTATATTTGGACTATATGAACTGCACTTCATTGTTTTTACATGGATGCAGCCACCCCCCTCTTCCAATAACAGAGTTCTGGTAATTTCATCGAAAGAAAAAATACATCGCCGGCAATCTAATCATGAGAATTTCATGGCAAGGTATTTTGACTGCAAATTAATTAATCAGCAACATGTGCAATCACAGTTGATTGGTTTCTTATAAATATATAACTATAAAATCTTAAAAACATAACATTCTCTAAAAATTAAAAAAAAGACTGAAGACTTATCGATCGAAACTGCGGTTTCGAGTCATGACTCTATAGTGACACCGCGTGTCCCATCACTAATTAATTAATAACTCGCTAATTAAACGACATAATTCATCCAAAATCGATAGGCTTCTGGTCCGAGATATGATAAATGCACATACAAAATTTGGAGCAGATACAACCTCGCCTTCTTGAGATATCGCGTTCATCTAACAGACAAACAAACAGACAGACAAATACCTATCAACATACTTACCGATCTTAAGATCGATAAGTAGTAATATTTTGCTAGAGTTAGCAATTTGATTTTATCTCATTTGTTATTTCATTACTGTTACTTGTACTATATCCTATCATTTAACCCAAGTTGAAAGAATCATAATGATAAAAATCACAGATATAAAATTACTGTTTACCAGACCATAATAGTAAAACTGTGATGGAATTATAGCCAATAATCCTTTCACAACAGCATGCTTTACCCGATTGTTCTTACAAAAAAGCGAACATGCAACCATTCAATTTAACATGCCACTCATTATCCAAACTTAACCACTGCTTAATATAGAAAACACCATAAATGTACTCGCTATACAATATAAACATATATACCTGAAGGCAAATGTAATCGCTTGGCATGTACGAGACAGATCGCATCAACGAACAAACATGGCGAATGAAATTTATCGAACATCCATTGAACAATTCATTCCGTTCTACATCACTTCCAACTAATTGATACATGATGTCTGCTTTCAGGCTGTTTTAAACATAAAAATTATTGCTAGAAATGCAGTAGTCGAAATCTTGTATAGAATAAAAATTCAATATCATCAAAATAAAAATACTGCTAAAGTACTTCTATGGCATATGATATGCTACGTGCATTGCATTAATTTACGAATTCATTAAGATCAAACCTGTAGCACAAATCGTTGAAAAGTTCAGAAAATTTTGCTCCTTGGTTTTTCATCCAGATATAATCATAATATTGTTCAATATGATCGAATATAGTTTTATCAAATTTCATGTCCGTCATATATGTTTTAACGGCCTGTGAACAACATGGATTAAGGCAGTTTAATTTGATTGAAATTAGATGGAAGAAAATAAAAATGGTAATTCAAATTTCCCATATTTTATTACCAATAATATGACAGTGAGGCAACAAAAGATATCTTTTTGAGATCTCAGAACTCACATTGACTTGTTCCTCATACCATACTTTTCTTGCATCGTCATTGGCTAAAGTAGCAGCAAGCATACTCAATATGTAACCAATCAGTACTTTCCCAGCAACCATAACACACATTGCAAATGAAATTTCAGTGACACTTCTAGGCCTGATGTCTCCATAACCAGTTGATGTCATCGTAGCGACAGTCCAATAGCATCCATCGACCCATGGTAACAGCTCTTCACCTCTAACGCCTTTATTTTTATAGTCTATTGAAAAAAATAGAAACAAATTGAATATTCAGTAACCGTAAGCAAAACATGGGTCAGCTGTAAAATAGTAGAATAGAAAAGTTTGGTACTTACAATATGTTATACAGTTAACAAGGATATTCATTGTTTAATTTATGCAATGCAAATTTAATTTAAGCAATTTATATGCAATTGACACTAATAATAAATGACTCTTATTGATTTTATCTATTAAATTGATGAAATCTAGAGAAAGGTTAAGCCTATGAATGTAAGTTTCAGGATTTCGAATCAAAGTGATTTAAATCAACTTCAATTTGAATCGGTTCGAAGCAAATTAAAAAAAATGACTTGATCGTATTGAAAACTCTAAATATTTAGATGACCTGAGGCGAATGTGTGACGCATTGGTAACATATTAGGTAGTTGATCCATTCAATGTGTTTTGTACTAAATTTATTTATTCTTCAGGTTATGGTATACTGAATAGAACCAGATTTGAAAAGATTCAAATCGTAACATTCTGATTCGAAAATTAAATTAAAAAAAAAATATATATATTCGGAACTTACATCCCTGGTTAGGACTTACCAGTCAAAGGCATTGTAGTCCAGCTCAATTCCACACAACTTCCGCCAGGACAAGCAACAAAGTAGAAGACAGAAGAAAAGAGATTGATGATATAGAAAAGCACAAGAACAAGTTTGTACATTCTGACTAATAATGTGCTTAAAAAGATTAAATTTCAATATTAATATTTATTGTCTGCTGACTATTGCAAAGAAAAACACAACAAAGATATAAATGAAAATACTCTTTTTGCAAATCCCGCTCCCACGTAGCCAATATAGCAAAAAATTTCCTCATCCTAAGAACTCTATTCAATCGTAGATAAGACAAAATCGCCAACTTTCTTGCGTAGGTCTGAGATATATAAAATTGTTGTAACATTTTAACTAGAGATGTATCGGTATCGGCAATATTGGCCATTTTTTCTGTATCGGCCATGTATCGGTTGGATTAGGGCCGATATATTTACTTTTTTGATATGTTCCAGAATGTTTTAAAAGATGAGTTGAAATACTACTTTTTAATTTAGAGAGATCGTGAGCTATGAGCCATACATGTCCCCACCCCTGCGAGGGAATAGGATTCACCTGTTTTTAGCTATTTATCAGCCAAACTAGCTAACTAATTTAGCTGTTTTCGCTGTCAAATTTTTATATTGACATTTTTAATATTACATAGTAATTATGAAGAAATATATCAACACAGCACATAACAAAAAGCAACTAGGCGCCCAGTTTTAAATCATATACAGCGGAATCGGAGTCCTTGTTAACGCCACATGCACTTTGGGCACAGCTATAAATTCTGACTGTTAGTCGTCAAGTACGAGTGTCATTTAGTCCGTCGACATCGATGAACTAAATTCCGACACAATTATCCCTCTACACAGGTATTAATTTTAATTTTGTTTAACTACACAATTTCTTTATAGATATATTGAAATGACTTCCTAGAGCCCTAGACTGTCTCAAAATATATGATAGCAATTGTAAAATATTATAAAATAGTAAAAGTAAAAAAACATCTTCGACAGTTATAGGTAGGCCTTCTTTTTGTCGGTGCTGATTGATATTCTTTCATGTTGGCTTTGATTTATTGCGGCGACGATTATGATAACCACAAAATAAAATATTTGTAAAATACTTTTAATTTGAACGTAGGACGGCGGACGTTAGAATGTGTGGGCGATATTCGATATTCTTTTAAACACGAATAACGATATTTGAAGGTCGCGATATTAACATTAACTTCGAATTGGACATCCCGGCTTATGAGTTTTCTAATTGAACACCTACATTACCAGCGTCACTGTACAATGCATCTTAATCAGCATCTGGATACCGAACATCAATTTCATATTATGTGATATATCTCTTTTTCGATCTGAAATAATGTGTACTATGAACAACGCTCAAAGACCATTGTTTTAAAGCTTCTGCCCTACACAGCACACCTAATTAGGTAATAATTACATAGAATCAATATCGGAATTTTTAGCTGGTATCGGATCGGTATCTGCGACAAAAGTGGTATCGGTACATCTCTAATTTTAACAGGATGCAAGACAAAATTTAGGAGACATGACAAAAGTGTTTAATAAAGATTCACACTGACCTCACTCATTGTTCCACCCATTGGAACAAAATGGACGAAAACTTCAAAAGGAAAGTTTGTAACACAATCAATAAAAAATCTCCTCCAATCCTTCCCATAATGTGCATGAATCTTTTCCAAGGTTTCAACAATGTCTCCCATTTTGTCAAAGTAACTTGTGTGGAAACATATCACCATGTCAATTGCAAACCTGTGAAAAATGAAGACTGGATTAAGGAAATTGAGACAAAAGCTTTCAAGATTAAAATAACAAATCGGTGCACGAAGATCCCAAATGATCATAAAAATATTTTTAAGATGACTAATGAGTCTAAATATCCAAATAAACTTACCACACATCCATAAGAAATACAAAAGTATCAATTCCAGAATTATGGGTAAGGAAGCATGCTTGATAGACAGCCAATGATGATGAAAGGAAAGCCAAGATAACTGTGCCATGATCCCATATTTGTGCAAATGTTGAGTTACGATCTATTATCTGTAGCAAAATGTATTTTGTTGAAAAATTGCAGTTTTATATTGAAATCTAATTACATACCGGTAATAAAAATTATTTCAAGCTAAAAATAGTGATATTTTAGGTTTATGAGGACACAATTCTGTTGCTTCACTTTGCACTTTTCTTAACCACTTCATTGCTTCAATTTTTTATGTTCTCCAATTTGCATAACTAGCATTTAGAATAGAGACGTACATAATTTCAACCTTCAAAAGTATTGAAATGGAAATGACATCCTAATTCCAAAAGGAAATTAATGAATCTTTCTGCTATGGATTCTCAATACTTTATTCATCTTGCCACACTAAAACAAGATACATTTAATAACCAACAAAGATCTGTATTTGATTAAAAAAATTAGGTCATTTAACCTTAGAAAAGAAGAACTTATCTTGACCATCATTCCTGTTACCCTTTTCATCATAAACATTCGCATTGGAGAATTGGTCAGTCACGCTCTTGCGTCTGACATAGCTAGTTGAGGTTGTTCCTTTGAGTCTACGATCCTTAAGATTGAAGCATTTGTGATAAAGCCATAAAATAGTGCAGAATGACAAACAGAATTTTGGAAAGTGTATGATCATCAATAATACCAAAAACATATGCATGAAACAAACCCAATGCCACTTTCCAGTTTGAGATACTCATTTAGTTTGAATAAGTATGCATGTTGTATTAAATTGTACCCACAGAAGTTAAACAATACCATTATACTCACCAGGGCAATGGTGGTCATGATTTCCCTGAATTGAGGGTATCTATCAAGAATATTACTCAAATCTTGTTTGTTGATAACACTCAAATCACAATTAGTCATAGCAACAACTGTTGCAGTACGAGGAATTGAAGAGAATAAAGCAATCTGGGAAAAAATTAATGTAGGGTTTCAACAAATTAGTTTTTCATCAATACAGAATATATCTAAATATTCTCAAGAGAAAGTTAATAGAAATTCCATTCTTCTCAAATTGTGCCTTTGTGAAAATCCTTCCTAGTGAAAATATGCATATATAAAAGCACACCACTTCTTGATAGCATAAGGATAGGATAAGATTTACATATTTATCCCGGGGGAGAGGAAAGTCATCCATATGGCGAACCATGGCCTCTCGTCCGGTTACCATTCCAAGTCGGGTATGGGATTAGTTTTTACTGTATTGTTTGTTTTCGGAAGCATGGACTTGGTGGTGGAGGAAGCCGTAACCGACCAGCGGTTACGTGAACCACCCAACGACGGCGAGGAGTCCAGCAATCCTCTCGCACATAACCATCCCTGCATGGGATTCGAACCTGCGAACACACGCAGAGTAATTAGAGGTGCGGTGGCGACGTATTCCTAACGCTTAGCCCGTTGAGCCACACCGCCGCGACAACCGTCCACATGGATTAGAATAATTTAGTGACCACAATACCTAGGCCAGGGTGGTCCAAACCCAAGCTCGCAGGCTAAACAAAAAGTCGCATTCGACGTTGTTTCGTCATAGGAAAAACTAGAAAAATCCTCTGACATATTGTTACATCACTAATGTCACTGAATTGGCTCGTGTTGTGGCTAGCTGAGGCCGCGAACTTGAATAATGTGCTTTGCTAGTCTAAATTGTTAACTGGCTTCCAATCTTTTTGGTCGGGAATATATTTCTAACAAAATAAGCTTTATAGAAAACTAAAAATTGAATGAGGATTCACCTAGGCTATGCCTAATAACTAAATATTAATGTTATGGCCAAACAATATAATTCCTGCCGGTGTTTTTTTGCAACCAGGTTGAACAGTATCACAAAAAATGCTGCCTAGATGTCAGAAAATTTAGTAATTACCCTCCTGTATCTCAAATTTGGTAAAATTCGGTAATCAATCAATCTGCAGTTATTTGTAAGCTATTTTGTGGACATTAGTTTAAAAGGGAAGCTGACCAATTCAAACAGATCTTTGACTGGATATGGCGGCAGGGGAATACCACAATGCTTGCTTGGTATGTCTGCAAGTTGTGTCGGTGACAATCTAAAACAGAATTTTCTCTTCAAGTTGTGTCGGTGACAATCTAAAACAGCATTTTCTCTTTATGGCGCTTTCTTCGTTAAAAAGAGTTTGAAATCTTACACTAAATGTAGATATAGTAAGATTTTTGCAGGTTTTAGTAAGTTTTTTGGTGGTTTTCGCATGTTTTAGCTTGATAAACACAAATAATGATCAATGTGTGTTGGACAATAAAAATGTTTGTTTTGTGTTGCATCGTTTACCTTCTCTTGGCACTATTGTGGCCTGCGAACAATACAAAAATAATAATGTGGCCCCCGAGGCCAGCAACCTTGGACCACCCTGACCTAGGCCTAGGCTGCTATAAAATACAACCTTAAATTTTGGAAACTTGAAAAATTGACAATTATACCACACACAGATGATCATGAGTGATATAATCCCAGGCTATTCATCATAAGATTTATAGTCATAAGATGTTTACGTAATAAATAATATTATGTGTCTACAAAATTATCAGAATGTGTTAAGTATCAAATTCTCACCTCTCCAAAATATTGTCCTGGTCCAAGCACACGTTTCAGTGTTTCATCATCTTCTTCAAGTATGGCAACATTACCTCGCTGAAGAAAATACATATCTTCCCCAACACTATTCCGACTGAGAATGGAAAAGATAACTGAAGATATGGGTATTGCACAACATAATCTCAAATGTTTTGTTTACAAATTTACCATAATGATGAAAAATTGAGCATAATTTTTATCTAATGCATTTTTCTCGATTGAAGAACTGAATTACCAAATCTCATAGCACATGGATAATCTTTCACAAAACATGTTTCTACAAGCATTGAACTTTTCTTTCTACAACATAGAAACAATACAGCACCTGAATATGATAGTTTTCGCCAGAAAGATTTGTGGATGAACGTACATAGATAGAAGATTGAAAAATCGATTGATATCCTTTTCCGATATATTTGAGCTATTTATTGAAAGAGAAGTTGTTTAATATTTGTATAGTCAAGAAAAGGTCGAATACTATGAGCCCAACTAGACCCAGCGCAACGACTAAACTCAATGTAAAGATTGCCAAGTTCTAGAAAAAATTAACAACACCGTATTATAAATCTTGAAAATGAGTGACTTTATTGAGTTATCTGCGAAGCCATACACAGATTTCCCAGATCCAAATCCGTACAAACTACACTGTTCATTTAATTAACAATAAGTCTTATTATTTGATGAGCTGTGTAAAGTGTAAAAAAGTTATATTCAAAAAATGAAGCCAGAAATGTAGAATAAATGAAACAAAGGCGAAATTACATTCGCAGTAGTATATAATAGATGTATGCGAACTAAACATGGTAAACTAACAACAATGTCATAAACAAGTGATCGATATGCTTAAAAATCAAAATTTTATTGAGTGAAATGATTAAAGTTTATTTTAGTTAAATCCTAAATACTACTTTCTTACTTTGCGATAGCGTCGGAAGTCTGGAAAGATTCTCGAATCATTTCATCATACATACAATGGTAGAGGCTGGCTCTGATGTTTGGAGGAAGGCCTCTGAATAAATCATTTGGGGTAATACCTCCTGTTCTTTCCCAAAGGTATGAGTAGAAGTCAATAACCTGAAGTAAAACTAGAATTGAATACCGGTAATATCTAATACAAGTTGCAGACAAAAATTAGGATGGAATTTTCAGATGACTAAAATATTGAATACATATTCCATTTCGAACCTGGTTTGTTGTTTCTTTTGAAACATGATTCAACTTAAAAAAGTTTCTAATGTCCATCATTCGCTTCTTGAAAACAGCTCTAGTTGTATCGTCCATCTGAATGGTGGCAGCTATATCTCCCAATATAAGAGCATAGTAAATGATTCCCAAGTACATCAGAATAGAGCAAAATAACTTCTCAATCTTAAAAGGGCAAAGATAAATACCATTTAACACTCCACCAAGTCTCTTTATTAAGCTCACAAACGGATATGCACAGATTTATCAGAATACATAATGCAGTGGTTATTGGTTTAGTATAAAGCAGTTAAACATAGCAGAACATTGTAGAACAAACGCTATAAATATCCAATTCATCAAAAACATGTTACTCAGAGTCAGTGGCGGCGCGTGGTCATTTTGACAACCGGGGCAAGCTACTGCGGGACCAAGTCACCCCCATCTACAGGGACAGGATGAGCGCTGTAAGTTCTCCCATCATTTTATGAGTATAAAAAACATTCCATCGGTAACAACCAATCGGCAAAAGCGACAATTTTTAACGATAAGAAAGTGTCTTTAAAACCGGTCCAAGTCAAGGGATTAATAAATATAGAAATAGTTTATTTTGAAACCTCTTTCAAAAGGAAAGGCAATATTTACCCAGATAAATACAATGACATATTAACAGAAACTTCGGGAAAGCAGACAAAACCTGAAATAAGGTTTAAAACGTTACTATGAAGAAAGAAAAGCTAATGCAAAGATAAGGACATGCGCCGCTCACTCATAGATATATATGCTGCTAGACTTCTACTGCTTGAACATATATGCAACACGCCGCGATTTCTTGGAAGCAAAATGCTCAATAACGCGCTGAATAAAGTCATGCATCCCAGAAATAACGTCTCTGTGAATGGATAAAACAGCCAAAGAATTTAATCTATCTTGCTTCATTGTGTTTCTGAGATACGTTTTAATACGCTTCAGCGTGCTGAATGTTCGCTCTGCGTCGGCGGAAGAAATAGGCGTCGTCAAAATGATGTCCAGAAATTTTGCAGATGCCGCAAAGGTAGTTACTAGAGCAGGTATGGCGAACCTTTTTCAATGAATGGGTCAAAAATTATAATTTTATCGCGGAACAGAAGAGAGTGGGTCACAGATATTTATTTTACGTTTGTATCTATAAGAAACTTATGGAACAAATCTTATAAGCTGGTGTTGGTGTAGTTTTGGGCTTTACTTATACAGCACTTCTATCAGGGACTTTTCATGGCACTCGGTTTTATGACATTAGAGAACGAAAACACGCACATGAATTACCAAAAACGTTTAGGATGATGCGATAAATTATTTTACGATTCTAGTGTTTGGAGGTAATTCCGCTTTGATAGTGTTATAATTTTCGATCAGCTTCCAACCACGTTAAGCCACTTTTACACTGCCCCATTGTTATATCAGATTTCTAGATTTTTATTTCAAGTCTGAAAGTTTTTGTTTTCACAACGGCATTGTAGACGAGAAACTAATAAAATGCAAACTAGTATCTAGTTCTCGTATAACCCCTAAAACAGTCTGCAGATGCACTTCCAAAAAGACAGGCGTTGCGAGAAATGAACAGATCAATTGCATTGTTATGTCATAAACGATGTCTGGCCTAATAGCTGAATAACGGTACACAGCGGTGCATACATGCGTACAAGATTAGGGGTTCTGAAAATTACCATACCGGTCCAAAAATCAACATTTTGAACATGAGCGATTGCAGCCCTTCCTGACTGTCCAACTGACGGTACATTATAATAGTTTAGTTATTGTTAGATTAATTTAAGGCCGGTTTAATCAATTTTTATCACTGATATGTTAGCATTTTTTTTATTTTATTCGTGCCTTGGCTTGGCGGGTCACAAATAAAACGCGGTGGGTCACTTAGTGACCCGCGGGTCAGTGGTTCGCCATCCCTGTACTAGAGTGTTTTCTATGAGGAATCCATAGAGCGCGCAAGTTGATGTGATGTTCAAAAAAGTTTGATTGGTGTATATACATCGCAATTCATTTTCCAATTTACCCACGTTTATCATGGGGTAAAATTTGGAGACAGTAGCCAACAAATGGATGGGAAATTGACGTGCAAATTTTGAAAAATTTTTGGGGTTCATCAAAGAGAACGCGGCAAGGTGTTCAGTGCGCAGACGATCGCCTATTTGATTCACCAGAATGTCACAGCATTCCTTTGCAGACAAAATCAAACGCTGTGTTGATGGCCCGCGGCGTAAAGAAGCACTTCATGTGTCGTCGTATTTTATTGTTTCCCGGATATGAGATACAGCATCGCAGAAGGCTGAAATACACGACTGCACAGACGCTCCATCCATTAGCCTTGACTGCAATGCGCCGTATAATACATCCACGTGATAGAATATTGTGGAGAAAAAAGCGAGAAAAAATGAAAACTCACCATCTTTTAGAAGACGCTTTAGACCTGCCGCCTCCCTCACAGAGCGTTCGTCCCAAACCGGAGAGCTCTGAATGCCATTGAAACACTCAATGAGCTCAGACCTAATTTCGAACACGCCCTGCACCACGCGTGATTGGAAGTTTCAACGTGTTGGTGCACAAGCTGGGAGACGGCGGCTACATATCTGGCGATGGAGGTCAGAGCGCTTCGGCGAAACGGAAAAAAAATGAAGAAAACCCCGAAACATTTGCAAAAAATATACGGACGAGAGGGGTATCAAGACACATATTTTTAATAACGAGGTTAAATTGGTGTGCATAACAATGTAAAAAATGCGCATGAGGAAAATATACTTTTATATAAACTTGAACACCATGTTTCAACCCACTCATGGCAGTCATAAGTTTGAGCTATCAATTTTGACTTCGCGTTGTAAGGCTGTAACACTTCTTTCAGTACAGCCGATATCCTGCAAGTCGTGCTATCAACGATTGGTACAAAGCTGTGAAATCTCTCGGTAGGTTTACCATCTTGCGCAAACCGAAAAATCACAGCCAGTTGGGAAGCGCACGTGATGTCAGTTGTCTCCTCAGACTGAATCGAAAGGAACTGGCAATTCTCAATTTCCAGAGCCAAATGTTGTAAATAAATTTTATACATTGAGTCGAGCAAATCATTTTGGATATCCTTAGATGTCCCTTTCGAAACAGTTGCGGCATCAAGATGATCTCTCAATACTGTATCTAGGGATGCGGTGTATTCCATCATATCCAAAAATACCCCTCTATTAGAAGAGCCAGCCCGTTCATCGTGCCCACGAAGGGACAGCTTGTGACAACCAATGAACTTCAGAACATCTATCAATCGACCGAGAACATGGTCGCTTTTCTCGTCGTTTTGGTTGTGCCGACGAATAGAAACCGCGCGTCCTTCATCCAACAGTGCTGCAATATTAACATTTCCGAATGTTCGGTATTTTACTGCATTGTCCAGATGCTCCATAGAAGATTGATGATCCCTGGCACGCTCGGAAAGATGTTTAAGATCTCTAAAACCAAATTTACACCAACGTGAGTCACGGGCGGTAGCAAAAAGTAGGCAATAAAAACAAAAAAGTGCATTTTTGTCCTCGCTGTAACACAACCATTCGTGTTTTTTATACCAAGTTTCTGCGCAGAATGTACGCCGACGCTTTCCTCCCTCATGGGATTGTTCCAGTGAACAATTTTTTGGTTGATAAGGCCCAAGACGTTGTACCTCTAATTTTTGTTCCAGCGGCAGCTGCAAAAACGGAGTGCGAAGTTGTGCATCAACCTTATTCATTATGAGGTCTAAGGCTAAGAAATGCGAAGCCGGATAGAAGTGAGGAGCTCAAAAGGAATGTGGAAAACTATCGGCGAGGAAACTATCAACTCTTCAAGCAACCAACGAACGAGAAGGAATGCGTGGATATGTCAGCACGTTGTTGTAAGAAACGTCGGCATTGTGTCGTCATAATTTCGGGGCTAGCCCCGATAATTTAGTAAAAGAAACAGAAAACAAACGAGACAAGCGCGGCGAGTGGAAGATAAAAGAGAGAATACGATATACAATGAGCAACCAGGGCAAAATCGGCGTCGCCCCGTCAACGTTCGGCGAAGGCTTTGCGAGCGAAAAATGAACCATGTCGGGAGAATATGGCTAGTGTAGACAGTCTGTGCAACCGATATTGAGGTATTTTTCGAATACTTTTTATTATACCGAAAAAACAACCGGGGCATTGCCCCGGTTGGCCCTATTGACGCGCCGCCACTGCTCAGAGTCATATACTTGTGATCTTGGTTTTTTAATATATATTGAACTGAAGGATCTGCTAGTTTTTGTTTAAATATGTGGTTTCAGGGACCACCTGCACCTGCTTGTAAATAAATTTTTCTTGACTAGTGATGGATAATACAGTCAGAGAACAGGCCTGACCCCAATCATAGAGTAATATGAACACAGCATTTGTGCAGCAAAACAAATCTCATTTATTCTGGAAATCAAAATAACATGGTTCGTAGCTGGCCCAATGTACAGAAAAGGTTACCCACCCTTGGTACCGGTATACAGAATAAAGGTGTGCTTATACTGGATGCGACGCACCGCGGCAGCGCTTCTGGTCGCACGTCACATATTTATAAAGAAAAATGTCGCCCACTTATTAATAAATAAAAATAGATTGGCAATTGCTTTGTATTTAGCAAAGAACAACGAGTGAAAAGAGAGAAGAGTATTGGGTGCATCCTATCTGTAAAAGGAGAAATAAGCTTGGTAAGATAAGATCATTGATTCCTAACCGTGCCTTAAACAACTAATATTGCATTTTTTATAATATGATCTAACCATATACTATTGTGTTTCGTTCATCTCACTACTAGTTGATAAAGTCTAGTGGTTATATAGATATGTTCTTATATACGAGGTGCGGCTAAAAAAAACGGGACTATTGAATTTAGAAGTTTATTTAGATGCATATCGTACAAAGTCCACATTGTCCAACACATACAAGTCTTAAGTCATCTTTATTTGCCCCTTCGAAATATTCCCCATTGGCTTGGATGCACTTTTCCATTCTTTTTTACCACGTTTTGAAGCGCTGTGAAAATTCTTCTTTTGTGATGGTGTTGAAGTGTCTCGTCATGCTGGTCTTGATATCCTCGACTCCTTGGAAGCGTGTCCCGTTGAGAATCCCTTTCGGCTTTGGAAAAAGAAAGAAATCGCTAAGTCCAGCGAATAAGGTGGATGATGCAACGTGGTGATTTCTTTCGAGACGTTTTTCCCGCCCAGGAAGATCTCAAAGAACACATGTTAGACTACTCTGTGAAAGAGTTGATTACCGATGGTTAATCGTGTTACACAAGCAGTGACGTTAGTCACGTTTCTTTTTAGTATGGTATTCGTGATAAATATCTTTTATCGGTGACAAAATGGAACTAGGAGTCCACCAAAAATTTAAACTAACCTGTTAGTAAGGTTTCAGCACATTTCATGATATCAACTGAGATCTTATTTATTTCGTTTCAATATTTGAATTTAGTCCTCAGGGCTATGCTTTAGAACAGTTAGATCCGATTATAAACCAAACAGTGAACACAATTAAAAATCATATCGATTGCAGAGAAAATGAAGGTAACGTTAAACAAGATAATGTAGTCACACATTACAAATACTAGCGGGGAAAATGAAAGTCAGATATACAATTCATCATTGAAGAACATTGAACTTGAAAGCTAGTTTGAACATCGAATATTTTTAATAAATTAAATGGGTTGTGACCTACTTAATTACAAAAAGAATGAAATTGAATAAAAAAGACTATTTCAGTATATGCAAGGTCATGTGCAGAGATAATTATTATAAATCATCATCCTTATTACAATTCGTTATGTTGAATATCGACAGAAAGTATTTGATTAATTTTTATTCTGCAATGTCAGACAATCAGACTTATTAAATAAAATTAAATTAATTAATTAAATTAAAAGTATTCACTACATAACCCCCACAGGAAAGTGCCAGTTATATAGAGTATAAGATCTCAAGTATAAATAAGCATTAAAAATAAATAATAGCCTTGGGCGTGGAATTTACCCAAATATACTATGACTTTGTCAGCTATGATTTACAAAAATAATGAATGAAGGCAGTTATAGATAGAAAACAAGGTAGAGTAAAAGATTTGACATGAAATATATAAAATATTACAATAACTTTGGTCGGCTAAAAATAACAATGTTCAAAGGTATAGGCACTTAAAGACATAGACTGCAGATAGAATAATAGGTTATACAAGAACTACCGAATATCAAATATTGCTATAACTCATAGTTCATATACATGCAGTTTTAAGAGATAGAATGCAAGGTATGAGCGTTTGTCTTCAACAAATAGGATTATCATGCAATTACTTCATGATGCTGAATTCGGGAAATGATTTAATTTACCAGAAAAAATCAATGAAAACGATGTTTATCTCAATTACTCTGTATTACTAAATTAAATTGATTTCACAATGATTTGAGCAAGCTTTAGAAATACCATTTATGTATCCGTATGTTTGTATGTACTTATGTACAGTATATTATTTTTGCCATTCCTGATTTCATCACTGTGGAGTAATTGCATGATTTTCGTCTTGCTGCTCTAGTTATTTTCTTCCATTTAGCACAAATCAAGTAAGTTCATTGTCAAACATTGTAAATTGCATTATGTCACTTATCACAGAATAAAGATCATATATTATATTATTTCGTATACCGGTATGTGTTATTGGTTTTTTCTCAATGAAGTTCCATTGAACTATTAAGAATTTTAATTTTTTTCCAAGTCGCTTAAAGCTCAAAATATTTAAGTGTAGAGTGTCAAATGTAAAAAACTTCTCATTCATTCTGTAATATGTGCTTTCAATGATAACCCCTGAATTAGACAAAAATAACTTTTTTTTTCATGTCATTCTGACTCTTTGAAGTTGCCAAGGGCAAGCTCTATCAACCATGAAATATTTCTTGAAGCTGTCACGAACTGCAGCTGCCGCTACACTATTTCTGCGACCTTGCCTTTGCAGGGACAAAAAACTATTGTCCTCATGTACACGGCAACTTCCTCTCGTTATGTTTCCTTCTAGATCTTCGCTATTCATTTCACTCACATCTGTCAATGTATGGCGTCTTACAAAATTATACAAACAGCATGCTGTCTTCACAACCAACTCAGCGTTTTGTGGTGACACACCCATTGGCCTCCACTTTGCACTCATTAGAGCAGAGCTATTAGCACAATGTTGAAGGCGTGCTTAATTGTAATAAAGGGAGCCTGAATTTGGAAGTGGTTCCCATCTATGCTCCCGATGCAATGTGGGAAATTCCACCATTTTTCATACTCATAAGCGATTTGCTCCCATTTTCTGACTGTTGGAGATTTTAACTATTGTTCTGTCAATTGTTCTTGCCCTTTCCAAGCGCATTTACTTTCACCTGCATGGTAAGTAATAACAAAAGAAACATAGATTTCCATACACCTCCTTAGCTTTAACAACTGTTTAGTAGACATGGGATGATGAACGAAACAGGATAAGATATGATTAGACTGTACTATAAAGAAAGAGAATCACAGTTTTATAAGGCATTGCAGCATTGTTAAGAGTCAATGATCTAAAGTTACCAAGCTCATTTCTTTTTTTTAAGATAGGATGCACCTAATGCTCTCTTTTCTATCGCTGTTGTTTGCTAAATACAGAGCGATTGCCAATCTCTATTTGTTTGATGATGGCATTATTATTTATAATTACGGTAAGCTGGTTGCAGACGAAATTCCTTACTGAATATGCAGTGTCTATGTTTCTAAGCAACCGCCTCTAGCACCATCGGGCGATACAAAAATGACGAGCGCTATGTAAACACCTGTGTCGCTCGACCAGAAGCACCGCAGCGGAACACGCCGAAAATCGCTTGCCAAGAGAAACTGAAGCGCCTCCACATGGTGCCACGCTTTGTGTGTAAATGGCTTCATTTGAAGCAATGGGGAGCGATAACGGGCGCATGTCGTGTCGGCCGCATTCAGTGTAAACGTCACTTAATTGGTTCCCCCGTGGTGTGTGTACCAGGTTAGGGTTAGGCCATAAATTTATTACGATTTTAGCCAGATGAATAGGCTTCCGTCCCTTTACACACATTCGATGTGTAAAGTAGGCGAACAAACTAGTCACCCCAATATTGGTACACACACATCTGGAGTGCTGAATAATCATCTATCAACTTATTACTGGTTCAAAAGAGAAACTAAATCAAAATCCTCTACTATTTATCAAAATGAGCAGCATTAATTCTATTCACTGACTTTGAGAATCATTTTACAACCATTCTAAAGCAATATTTTAGAATACAGGGTATTCGTAAAGTCCCTTCACAGTTTCAATTATGCTATGCAGTCAGTTCTCAATATATTTTAACCAGGTTTGTTGTTTTTTAATCAGTAATTTTCAAGTATTTTTACCTCATTGAATACATCTGTGAGAGCCGAAACAATAAATGGTATCAATAAATTCTCTTTCCAATTAAAAAAAAAATACAAGACTTTATGTGTACACTTCAATGGTCCTAACGCCAAAAGAACAGGTAGGCCTATAACATACACTGGCGGCAGCAACAACATCTCCATATCCTACAGACACAAGTGTGGCTGTTACGTAGTATAAGCTGAGTAGATATCGATGAAAGGTACTGTTCACCAAGTCTAGTGCAGGGAACGCATCATCTATGATAGCTTTCGCAACCCACGATTCTTTTGGGACAGAGAATGGTCCAGCTGCACCAGTCAAAGTCATGTAATCAGTGTTGTTAGTGTTGTCAATCTGATTAAATAAATTGAGATCTCGACTAACAATAGTAAATTCAATGAATAATGCATGAAAAGCATACACCTATTAAGTCTTGCGACCAGCTTATTGTCATTTATTTTATTCCTGCACGTAATTGAACTATTGAAAAATGTCGATTGCGATCCAACGAGAGAAACCGCATTTATTTTCAACCCATTAGTAATAATCTCGTAACAATTGGCCACTCAGGAGTATCCGTTTACGAGATCGCTATCATCAAATCTAATCAGTACAAGTCACGACACATTGAAAGTTAACGTCAATAACATTAAATTACGACAAGAATTTTAAGTTTTAAATTTTTTTTTTGACTGAAATTAGAGAGTAATTAAGGATTGACTTTTAAATACAAACCCATTTTATGTGTGGTTGAGCCATTGTGATGTACATGACACACGCAACAGAGTTGTGCATCAGTATCGTATATATAATTCTAGTACAATGTTTTAAGAATCTTCTTCTCCAACGAACATCACTTTGCCAATAGTTGAAGTAATTTATCAGCTAGAAAATGTTGAAATAAATCTCTTAATGAAGTATTTTTTTGGAACAATTTTTCCAAGTGTTCAGCACATTCTGTATTAAATAATATAAATAAAATGTGAATATTTTCACATTATAACCTCTTTTCTCACTTCACTTCAATTTTCAAAATTCAACATATGAATTTTTGGTCCGTTCGCTACAATTGAGTGAAAAAATGTCTTAAAATACCAGTAAGGTACTGTAATAAGATTTAAATGAATACAAAATAATATAAATTAGTTAATGAACACTGTGTACACCATATCTTTTGAAGGAGAATATGTACACATGCCTTCAATAGTGGAATTTCCCAATGTCATCACATATCATATTAACTATGACTATACTATAATGTTATGACATTACACAAATCTGAACAAACCTTGTATAATTGTAGAATACGGAGTATCCGGAACATACAAATGAACCTCCATTGAGCAAGTGTCCATGGTGTCGGTATTGCGGCCATTACAATCAAATCAAATGGAAACCAGGAAATAAAATCAACAAAAAAACTAGTCTTGAAATAATGGCCCGCAGTATATAATGGATGGCACACCAGAACCTTGCGATCATTGTAGTACATTGTATGTAGCTTAATGTATTGGTCCACCATAGCCAATGCATCGAGAATGTACTGCAACGCCAATAGCGCTGGTATGTTCGGCATGTAAGCTGCCTGTTGAATATATAAGTTGGTGTTGTAAGCGAAAATCACATATAACTTAGATATCAATTTATATCAACATGATCATTATCATTTCATATTAATGTTAAATGATGAGCAAGCATAGCCATGGCAAAATATCTTATTGCCTGTTTGGTATACAATCACACCACTTGAATTTTATCCCAATTGGTTAACTATTTTTAAGGTATAAAAACCTATCAAACAAGAAAATTCCATGCTCGATAGAAATTAATGTCCAAGTGCAGTCATACCTGGATTGGCACAATGATTATTGTAATTATGACCAGAATCATTCTGAATGTTTCATAATATATGTATAGCTTGCTGCCTGGGTCAAAGGTAAAAGGCAACAGGAACAGTTGTGCCAAACTCTTCAAAAACGGATGCACATATACATCGTCATTGTTGTCAGCATTGGTCATCTTCCAAACTGCAGGAGCTTCCACAATTTTGTCACCGTAATATGACACACCTCCACTCATATGATGAATATCAAATCGCTTACTCATGTCAACCCTTGATTACACACAAAGATATCAAGTTATGATTGAATACACAGTAGAAGGAAATTTTCGCCAGAGCGTTAAACCAAGAAAATGTGATCAGAAAACATACATGAGCATAATATCATCTAAATTGAATCAATATACCTATAAATATTACAAAAAAAAACATGTTTGTAAAGGGCCTCATTAAAAAATGATACAACCTTGGCTTGTCTGTACGCCGGTGGATATTTTGAACGATCATGTCATGGTATTCCTGGTTATCACCAATTTTGGCTATTTGAGAATTGATTGATGGGAAGGTAGCAATGATGTCAATAATATGAACTTTCTTCAAGAAAAGGATTTCAACACTAGTATCAGCAACAACTGTTCGTGCCGAGCCTTTACCATAGAAAATCTGAACCAATAAAATGATAGGGATTAGGTGAAGGATTTATCTATTCAGTAGCTATTCCTCCCAAATCTTTTTTTAAAGTACTGAACTTAATAATGATAGTCAGAAACTACAACCATTTAGAGTGTTGAGAAGGGTCACTGTGAATGCCGGAAATATTATGTTGATTTGGTTGTAACTTGTATGACATATATTCTTGAACCAAAGTCCCGGATGCAAAATTTACATGTTACAAAACAAATTTCGTAAAAATACTGTTCCAAATAACGAAAGATGCTTCTAACTACAAAAGGCTGAAAATCAAAATCCAAAAAACACGCTACTGACCATTATGTACAATGACTCTCTTCAGGGCTTAGAATGGATTAGGGCATTTATAGAGTCAAATGCCTTCCTACTACAGATTTTCTGCTTTAATTAATAATAACAAATTAATTTTGTAAGTAAAGTTTCTAATGTATATAAAATATTCAATATGAAAAATACATAGAAAAAAAATTGACTGAGGTCATAAAGCTCTTAGTTTAATTAGGCTAGCTGTTCATATGACATACCTCAACTTCACCAAAGTAATCTCCAGGATGCAAAACATCAAATGACTCTGTCAAATCATCGGTGACCACAACACAATGACCTTGCTTAATGATGTATAATCCACCACACATGTCACCCTGGGAAAAAATAATGAACAAAGTATGATGAACAAACCTTTTTAAATATTCATTTCTAAAGCAAAGCCAAGCAAACCTCATAAATAACCACCATCCCTTCTGAATAATGATAGGCATCAATATTGTTGCATAGCTTAGATATTGCAGCAGGATGAAGTCCTTTGAACAGAGGAATACGTTCAATAAAGCTTCCAAAACTTTCATACATAAGCATTTGATGAAGATTCAAGGGAAGCTTGCTATCAATAGCTGCATCCCTTCCTTCACCAGGAGTAGCATCACCCAGGAATCTGTCCCAAAGAATATATCGGCAATCAAGTGCTCGGTTTGTCAATTGAAGAGGCACCTAAAGAAAAAGACAAAAATATATATATGTTAAATGGAAGTTTAGAAACTACACAAAAAAAAATTGGTAGTTTTAAACTGTTTTTATTAGTCAAAAATATGGAACCTACAGCATGTTTTAGCAGATATCTTTTCATCATCAAGAGATCGTTGCTATAAGTGGTAACAGCTGATGCTGTACTGGATATCATTGATGAAATAACTGCAATGATCCATCCACACATAATTGTTCCCAGGGTCATTGTCATTATAGCCATAAGCATCAAATCAGTCACAGTTGCAGGATATTCACCATACCTGTGTTGAGATAGAAAAACTAATTGACATATCCACTCTTATAAATTATATCTGTTACATGTGAAAATATAAATGCATATACAGAAGGACTCTCGGCAATTTTAAAGATAATTTTGTATATTGGTGATGACAAAAATATAATTCCAGCAAAAATATTCTTATATCCATGTCCAGTGAATTTGATACAGAAAGTACAGAAAGGGAAATGTTTACGTAAGAATAGAATATGAAATCATTTAAATACAAAAGACCCTCATGTAAATATTGTTACATACTACTGACTGTAACCCTATCTTGCTGTCTGAAATACAGTTCTACCACATCTATCTTTCATATTGTGTATAGCCATATACAATATAGTACTAGTTTCTGCATAACCAACACCAACCCAAAATACTTGCCTAGCTATCGATTCAAACCAAGATTGCAATCATTTGAAAACAATTTTGCAAACAATTCCAATTTGTCCTTGGATGAGTGTATAATTTTGGGGCTGTTACTGAAAGGAGGAATGGCAATTGTTTGTTTTATGGGATGCATTGCGGCAACAGCAGTGAAGAAATATATGTCGCTAACACCAAGGCACATGGTGCAGAGTGTGGTTTTTATTGGTACAATCTATATGGGATAAACTTATCGATACCAGCTGATGTAACGAGAAGAGGTTGAGACAAATGCAGAACCAGACAACAGAAACCAGGATGCAGTGAGTGGTACAGCCTGTACAAAAGTTGATACACTACCACTTCTTTATTATACATTCATCTACCACTACATTACAACATCAAAAATTTCCAAAGTTATTGTAAATCACTTTATTAGGTAATCATTGAATGAGTGTTTATTGGTAGTAATACAAAGTCAAGGATGTTCTAAATCAGGGTGGTCCAAACCCAGGCCCGCTGGACACCTTGGGCCCGTCGCTTCATTACCAGTGGCCCGCGTCGCATCTGCGTGGGGGTAAGCAAAAATTCGCATTCGGTGCTGTTTCGTCATAAAAATAACAAGAAAAATCTTTTGACATATTGTTACATCCCTAATGTCACTGAATTGACTAGTGTTATGGTTAGCTGAGGCAACTAGCGAAGTTGAATAATGTGCTTGGCTAGTCTAAATTGGTTAACTGGATGTTTATATTTTTTGTTGGAAATATATGCTAATGAAATAGGCTTCATAGAAAACTAAAATCGAATGCGGAATCTATTAGCCTAGGTTGGTTATGCCTGATAACTAAATACTAATGTAATGACCAAACAATATAATTCCTGCCGTGTTTTTTTTTTTTGCAACCAGCCTAAGCAGTATTACAAAAAATGCTCCCTATATGTCAGAAAATTTAGTAATTACTCTCCTGTATCACAAATTTGGTAAAATTCAGTTATCAATCTGTTATTTCTGAGTTTTTTTGTAAACATGAGTGTGATAAGAAAGCTGACCAATTAAACAGACAATCTAAAACAGCATTTTCTTCTAATGAAACTTTCTCCGTTATGAGTTTAAAATCTTACAATAAATGTAGATATGGTAAGATTTTTGCACTTTTTAGTGAGCTTTCCAGTGGTTTTTGCATATTTTAGCTTGATAAATGACAAACATTGATCAATGTGTTTGGACAATAAAAGTAGCTGCTTTGTATTGCACTGTTTACCTATTCTTGGCTCTATTGTGGCCCGCGAACAATACAAAAATATTAGTGTGGCCCGCGAAGCTGACGACCTTGGACCGCCCTGTTCTAAATCAACTGGGTGACAGTAAGTTTGAATAATAATTGAAAGAAGTGATAACCATGCATGTCGAAGATAATCGTAGGCAGGCAACTTTAGTTTTAATAAAAGCTTATTGGAGGTCTGAAATCATGATTCACAACCTGTGCTGAACAGAGCGAAAAATTCAAGTGCTTGGGATTGAACACTGTCCTTACTGATGGAATGATTTACCGGTAGCTTAAATCGCATTATCTTGATGCAATGAAATACATTTGACTTGGTCACGAAACAAAGGTTGACGTAAATAGGATGCTGTTGTATGACTAATAGTAAATTCTGACAGATTTTGTGGGCAATGGGTCGAACCAGACCATATGTTGTATTTGGCGCATTTCCTATTGTATTCAAGATAATGAACAATGTGACTTGTGCTACCTAAATTGCAGCTGGCAGAATGTCTGACCAAGAAGGGTGTCACTCCACACCCTTTTTGATTTTAGACAAAATTTAAATTCTAGATTTCTGATTTTAAAGGAAAATGGAAGAGATTGCAAATTTCATGTTCTCATTTACAATTTGTCAAGGTGGTTGTCATTACTTCGCAGATATAAATACTACCTTGTTGGTACACAAAGGTCATCCAGTACCTTGGCATGGCAGATGTAATATGTGGCTTATGTATGGCTTTATATATGGTATTTGTGGACAAATCTGAACTTTTTATGTTTGTATTGTTTTTGCTCCAAAACGGTATTAATTTATAATATATACAATAAACATACACTGTATTTATGCACTAACCAATTACATTAATGTATTCTTTTTAGTAAAATAAAAACTCACCCTGTACTAGTAATAGTCATACTGCAGACATAAAACAATTGAGAGTAATCTAGAATTTTTTGACAACTTTCACTATATGTCCCCGCTTTACCAAAGTGTTCATGACTGTAAAAATAAATATTTCAACATGCAACAGTCATCATGATTATGCCACTTGTTAAAAGAGCTGACTCTGAATATTGATTTTCTTGTTGCGTTTTCTCAAAGATGTTTATAATAAGAGTGAAGTACAAATAAAGTTAATGAACTTGGATGATATTGATAACTATTAGGTAATTGTAATTGATTGAATAAACTTAATTGTTTCTCACCTCCAATCCTGATTCATGTAACTACATCTTGACCAAGGAAGCCAAACACATATGGTGTGTACAATGCAGAAACAAATAAGGATGACATATGTCAGCTTGATTCGCACTATATTGGCAGTAAGACTTCGCTTCCATTTGCCAAAATTTCTGGGGAAGTAACGAAATATACAAAAAAGTCTGTTATTTCGCAGCAGCAGCCACCAAACATGTTTTCCCGCTCTGTTTCGCATCTTGAACATTGAAAACGTTGGGGCAAGAATTTCAAATGGGAACACATAGAGCAGATCAATGCCAAACTTTCTGAATGTCAAGTAGTACTTTCCAATGTCACGGAAGCTTGTAACTTCCCCTGCAAAAATGAAGTAAATACCAATTACAAGAATGAAACAGTCTAAAAATATCACAGAGCATATATGAAATATAATATATGATTTCAAAAAAGACAACTTAAATCGAAAATTGAACACATGAGAATAAAACCATTCCTGAAAAGAATTACGGGATAACAAAAGATTCTGTTGCATTCATTTGTGAATAAGATCTGGTGTTGTATTCATGAGAACACAAGTAGGCTAAATCAGTGGTTCCCAAACTGTGGGTCGAGACTCCGAATTTGGTTGCGTGAAGATTTTCCGGAGTCGTCTAAATTCTGTCAAACATGCGCACACAAGTAGATAGGATTTGAAAGCCTTCACATAAAAGTGAACATTTTCGTATTGCAATATTAGGTATGTATTTAGACGTCTCATACATAATTACAAAGCGTTCCGAGCAGTCAAACACAAACCCAAGTTTTAGCATATTGAAATCCACTTAAAAGAAGTGATTCCGTACACGTTTTTCCCCATTTTACTTTCATTCTCTGTTTTACTTCCAAATTAATATTGGAGCAATCTGTAATATGTTAACATTGAACTAAAAATATTAAAGACACTGTTGAAATATACTAAAAAAGATTTTAACTTTATATATATTTAGAAGCAATGTCAACTTTCTAGCCGCGTGATCGCGAGTATCTGTAGGCTTTGATTTTATGAAAATTTGGGTTAAATGGGCTAAATGGATTGAGGAAAAAATACTTGTTTTAGGTCAGTGCCCTACAACAGGGGTTCCGAGGAACTCTAGGGTTCTGCAATACATGCAGTGTGGTTCCGTCAGTTTATAGGGTTCCGCATGTTTTTTTTATTGGGAATCATTTCTTGCTTCAGCATGTTGATGCGTCGTTGCGGAGTTGTTTGAAAAGTGTAGACATGAGTATGAGAATTCAAGAAGATTGCAAAGGAAATGCAAGAACAACCTAGTCATTGAATTTCACGCTTGTTACCTTCTTTCTGTTTCGTTGTTGACGTAGAAATATTTGAAGTACAATTTCGTATTTCGTGTTTTATTTTAATTTTGTTTATATGGGTTCCATAAAAAACGAAAAATTATATCAGGGGTTCCACAATAACAAAAAGGTTGAAGAGCACTGTTTTAGGTCATACCTATTTATATAATCTGGTTCAACAGTATATTGCAACAACTGTTTTCACCAGTTACAGATTTATAATTTAAATTATTCTTCGGTTACATTTTTGATTAAAAACATTGAATCGCTCACGCAAGAGCCCTATTATTATATAATTTTAAATTAAGAAATTTTTTCCATGTTACCAATATTTACAGTAAAACAGGTAATCAGTAGTGAAGCGGATAGCAATGCTTCTAATGTGCCAACCTCAAAAACTGTAGTTAAGCTACAAATGAATAGGACATTGCCACAAATCCATCTCCCGCCCACTGAAAACTCATAAGCTACGGGAGTATGTTAAACTCAGCTACTACAATTTCCAAGCCATAAATATATTAACCTTATTGAAATGAATTAATTTTACCTGTGGTGGTTCGGATAACAGTCCTCATATTTATGAAGATATTCAACCAAAGTGAAAGATCAATTATCAAATAAGAAATGATAAGATGTATCCAACCATTAACAGTTTCCACATTCAAGCCCATAATAGAAACATCCCATGTCCAAGGTATATCGACTCTGAACACAAAATAGAATTTTAATACAGCGACTTTTAACAAAAAATAGATAGAGTGTATCTCAAGTTTGAACAATTAACATCAATACTCGGTTTCATAAGCATATAAAAAATTACTAAAATATGTAGATGCTATATATCTTAATACCATATATACATCATTCAATAGCTTGCCATGCATTAAGATTACCGTATTTTATAGACCAATAAGGTGCAGTTTAAATTTCCTTTTTTCTCAAAATCGACATATAAGCGAGTGCACCTAAAAGTGAGGATCACTTTATTCTGTGGAATTTATTGACGGTGCGTGAAATGCGTTCATTATTAGCCTTTCATTCTTTATTTTCGATCAAGAAAGTAACATAGCCAATGAGTAACGCCAGGTATTTCCAAACAATTTGTCATAGCCTATAAGAAAGGTATTAGGGCAGCGTTTCCCAACCTTTTTAATTCACAGACTATTTTCTCAGCCGCAAAAACTTTTGTGGACTCCAGGTGCGTTTATTGCAACCGTACTCTGTGTGAAGAAGCAATAAAACCAAATACAACAGAATTTCAATGAATTTTAAAATCGGAAATTCGCCACAATTATGCGTTCGTTAAAGGGGCCGACTTTTTTAGTGTATAATTGGTTTTTCTGTCGCACAATATCCAATCCATGACAACGAAGAGCATTTAAAATGTCTTTCTATATAAATTTAACTGTGTTCATGGTAACTCGCGGTTGCGTCGACTTACGACAAGATGAAAGCATTTCTTCTTTGAAATGCCAATCGGCAATCTGCGAACATAATAATGTGAGAATATATTGCCCGATTGTATTCAGTTTTTTTTACATATTTTTGCGATCTCGCGAATTTGTTATCGTCGTTAGAAAAATCTCAATATCTGCTATAAATTTCCAGAAAGTACAACTTCATTTAGGACTCATTGAAAATATATTTAAAGTATCATCGCCTTGCTTTATTATTAATTTAGTTGTGATCATTTTAATCTGCAGTTGTGTTGGCCAAATAAAAGCAATACTACTCAGAAAATATCATGACAATCCGTGGACACAAAAATGCGTGGAAAAGGATTTTGTTTTGATTCCTATTTTTGTGAATTCGACAAATCTGAGCTGACAATCTGAGTTTTGCGATGTCTAAAAAAAGCGTTTTTAATCGGTCGCAGACCATCATAAAACCAAACTTATGGTGTTCTCCGGTTTATTTTTAGTGTTTTGTATTGCCGCTTTTCAATTTAGGAAATTCGGGTTGCCACCATCTATCGACGTGTGTGCCAACTTGTGTGTTTCAGCCGGAAATTCGTGAGTGGGTTGTGAAATCCAATCGTTTTATTAAGCGACGCGCACAAGTGCAAGTGACCTGTCGCGTCACCTGTTACCAAAGTTTCGAATATTAAATTGCTATTCTAATAGTTGAATATTCGATTATATGCCCATCCCTACTCAGTAACCAGTAATAATTGACTCGATTAATGTTATGTGAATAAACTTGTTTTTTATGTGTTATGTAAATTCCAACGTAGGTAAATCGTAAATTGGCTAATAGGCCGATAGTTGGTCGATATTGACTGATTCAAACACTCCGCGGACTCATTTGAGACCGTAGACTCGGGTTGGAAAACACTGTATTAGGGTGTCAAAATCACAAACCCAAAAATGCTTATTTAACGACGTCAGGAATTCAAAGGGCCGCTTTTGTTAAACGTTTTGGTAGCATGTCAATAATGTTATTGGGAACATTAAAAATTGAAGGCCTTAACAAACAATTTGTGCGGATATGCATGCAACTTGTAATTTGGTAAGCACCAATAACGATTTGCAACATTCAAAGGTGAATAAAGGTAATAGGTGAATTAAGGGTAATAGTATACATATCTAATTTACATTGGCCCCAAAGCACTACCTCCAGCAACAAACTGTCAATGTTCTTACACATATCCTGTAGTGAGGTTGCCTGTTACCCTTTCAGATAACAGTCCACCGACTCCCAGAATGCATCCAATAGTCCCATTCATGTTGGATTCAGTTTCACACACTTGAAGAGATTCAATCATATTTTCATCATCTTCCATATCTACAGCAACGTCCAGTACTGGCAGATTGTCAACGCATGTTCCGGCACAAGGATTTACTTCAAATAAAAAACAAATTTGACAAGTTCATTTTGGGTTATAATAAGTTCTCAAAACTACGACACAAATCAAAAAAACAATTCATGTATTTAACAAAACGCTAGGCTTAGTTAACCATATGATTAGCTGTCTGATTTCCCTCATCTGTATATTATGTGTGTAATATGAGAATATTCGCATTATCTATTTGACATTGTAGCACTAAATTTGGATGTACCTTATAAAATTCATTTTTTATTTCATATAAGTGATCCTTCGCTTCGAGATGTCAACACGTGATTTATTTTTGCACATATTACCATAAGTAGAGGATTTCTAATTTCATAAACCAGAAATAGGCCTTTGCACTTAATAACAACACTATAGCACTTTAGATACAAGTTACTAATCTCATCAAATTTTGATTAATTTAATTTATATATCCCCTATGGTAGAACAACAAAGTATAGACACAAGGAAATGATGGACAAACACAAAAACGGGCGCTCCAGAAGTGTGTGTACCAATATGGAGGTAAATAATTTTGTTCGCATACCTCACATCAAGTTGTGTTAAGGGACTGAATGAAACATATGGGCAGAGAGTAATATTCACTTGGCTAACACAGACAGTCCCCGAACTCAAATAACATGACTCAAATAAGAAGGAAAAAAAGAATAAAATTATGGCCTAATCCTAACCTGGTACACACACTACAGGAGTACCAAAAATGTAGAAAAGCGAACCCCGCAAAGTACTTCAGACAGAACTTATTATCTTGCAATGTGTAAAACTGCATAAGAATAATCAGTGCATAATAAAAGCCATGGTTTTACCCCTTCTTATTATTATGTTCATACAAAACATGGTTGTTTGGAATAAAAATGCAAAGAGAGACAGTGCTGTAATATATCTTTCCCAGAACCGATAAAATTTTCCATTTGTATGACATATTGTTGCTTCCTCAATTCTTTGAAACAAAGTCATCTGAAATTTTTAAAGTTGAATAATAAATTTTTTGATAAATTTGGTCAACTGAGATCTACGGTATATAGATACTGGAGTGAAACTTGTACTGTGTTACATTATTTCTTATTCAAGGTAGCTATATGACGATAGTTTTGACTTACAATACAGCAAATACATGCAATAATTTATCGCATAATCTACTCACCATTGTAACATATACATCTGAAGAACATAAGGAGCTGCTCATTTTACAAAACAAAATTCATTAGAGAAAACTTAGAACATAGAAATTTGATGAAATTCCGAAACTTTCAGAATAATGTTTTACAACCTTACTGAATTCACCATTTCATCTACGAGTAGTCTTTTAATACACATAACACTGCAGTAGAACAAGAGTGACTTATGTCCCATTTTGACATTCTAAGAAAATGGCCTTTAAAGTTTTTTCGGAGGTTTATTTTTTGATAGCGCATTTATCTTTGCATATCTGTATAAAATTTTTCGTTTAGTTTGGTTGTTGCATTTTTCTAGAATATTTTTTTTCTTTTTTTTGCATTTATTTTTTATTTTTTCAACGATGTTTTGAACATAAGTCTCTTTTGCACTAAATTATTCCTTTTTATCTTTGCCGCTTGTGTGACTTAAGGCAACATCATCATACTCATCAGTTGTTTAAAACCTAGTAAACACTATTATATGGAGCATTTTATAAAATAAATGATAACAACGTGCATATGAGTACCCAAAACGAACTGTATCAGCTATTCTGAGCTCTCTTATTCCATAAGGTATGTTTTTCCTATTGTCATCTTTGGTAAAAAAGCGATTAGTCCTCCATTTAATTAATGAAACTTACTGGGTTAGAGGAAGTTGATTAACTAGATAAAAAAATATGAATTCCTTTCATTGCATAAATATTTAATATCACATATTGGTTGAAAAAAAATCTCAAATTTGACTGATATAAGTAAACTGTATGACTCACAACAGATCTTACTAGGTATGTGCAGTCATGCATGAAGACTTATGTCCAGTATATTTAAAATTTGTTATGGGGAGTTTAGAGCTTATGTCCGCTTTTGTAGACATAAGCTACTTTTGCATAAAATAAAAACCAGGGAACCAAGACCTATGTCCACTTTTTTGAGACATAAGTCAGTCTTGCACTCCAGCATAGGGACATAAGTTAGGCTATCTTCCAAATTATATGGTTTTAGGGGTCAAGCTAATGTGCATCTGAAAGAGCATAGTTTAAAACTTTAAAAAATTGAAAAAAAGTGAAAATCTCGAAAAGTGGACATAAGTCAGTCATGTTCTATAGCAGCGATAAAGTGATTTTAGGCGTTGTACAACTAAACTTTAAACATTAATCAATCAATCCCATTAGCTTATATCAGTAGGACTGAGTGAAATATTTTACTTGGTATATCCACACATGGTGCAAGTTATATGTAACCTTATATGACACTATTTTTTCATATAAAAATAATTTAATGGATAAAGTTAGATATACCTTGCACGAATGTCTAAAAGTGGATATATGAAGCGATTGAATATAAATTAAAATGTCAAACATGTTCCAATATGTGCATACAACTTAATAAATATATATATATATATAAATATAACAGATTAATACTTGTTTGCAAACCTTGTTTGAATCATCATCTTCAATTGCAGCAGAGTGATTTCCATCTGAAGGTAGACATATAAAAATTAACTTCAATTATTCAATCATAACCTTCTTAATTATTCAGCAAATACTACATTCAATCAGTAATATTAGCACCAAATGAAAATCCTCAGTTATTGATAAAAATTAACTTAATGAAATAACAGATTAATGTCTGTTCATTGATTGCATTCATTTTATACCCTATTTACTTGTCCTTGTCTAGTATAAATTCAAATTAATGTTCGATGCTTTTTTATCTTTTGTCCTATATGAACAATTTATTTATCTGAAGAACAAATAAATAAAACGTCATAAAAGAACTCAATTCAATGCCTAGGAATTTATAATATTGTTATAATACCTCCACCTATATTACAAAAAGTGACACGAGACAATCCAATTCCATCATACTCCATATCTGCAACTTCAGTCATTCTTACAACTCCAGGAACATTTTCAGAAGGTGACTCTTCTTTTTGATAATTTTTTATTTTCCGTATTGAGGCTTCCGTAATATCTTCAACTATACTATGTCTATGGCCTTTCATAATTCTGTTAATTAAACATGTCTAAATAAATATGATTCATTACTGAAATGAGACATATACAAAAACAAATATTGAAAAATATGCTGGCTCACCTTTCCAAAACGACAGAATCTGATAATGTAGGGATATCAAGTGGCCACCTGCATGACGCTTTACATCTTTCTCTGATCGCATCCTTAATTTGATCAGAAGCTGGAATTACAAAAATTTAGCTTTTAACAAGACTAGCTGGCAATGGTAAATCAGTATAAAATTGTGGAAGTAAATGAGCAGTCAATCAAAGTGACTTTTCAGAATTATTTTAGTGTCAATTACTAAAGTATATAAAATAATGGAAGCTAAACTAAGTGCTTACTAAATCAAAATAAATAATTCATGTTTGAGAGTAGATTAAAATCATTATCAAACAATATTTTAAGTATCAATTATTAGTTGTGTCATGCTTTGGAAATTTACTGCTATCTGAACTTATCAGGGAGTGAAAATTTCTCAAGCTGTCTTGGAAAAAGGAAACAAAATTCACCTTCCGGATAGTCTACGATGACTTCAGCAAATGCATGTTTGTCCAGCCACAATAACTCACAGTCCGTTAGGCATTTAATTGTGTTCAAACGAGGTAGATCAAAAAGTAAAAACACTTCTCCAAAACATTCACCTTCTGATATAGTATCAATAACATTTTTTTCTGACTGGTCCAAAACCTATTAACAAAATATATTTTTGTGATCTATCTAGTGATATAGAATTGACGCCAGTCAGATATCAGTTTTGAACTTCATATTACTTCAGTTAGAAACAAACCTGAACTGATCCTCGGTGAACATAGCACATTGCATCAGCAATCTCTCCAGCACGCTGAACATATCGATTTTTTAAATATATTCGATGCTTTGACACTCGGGCAAGTTTTCTACACAAAGCGCCTTGGCTTCCTTTTAACAAGCTTGCCTAATAAAAATGATGCGCACGTTTCAACTGAATGGTTAAACAATGCAATGCCAATAATTACCATACCGATACTTGAATAAATGTATAGTAAGATTCCTGGCTGAGGACATATTTTTAAATAAGACAGTTAATCTAAAGTGGAATTGAAAAGAAACTAGTACAAAAGACTCACTCCATCCAGCAGTGGTTTAAATGCATATTCAGTGAAAGTTCCATGTAGACAGTCAGGCAGAATATCCAAGGTTCCCATTTCATGAACCATAAGACCCTTAAATCTATGCCATATGTAGTCACAATATCCGGAACACACACCTTTGACCTGCTCTCTGACATGCATGTTTTCCTTAAATGAAATAACTGAATCACTATTAGACTGTGAGGATAGACAGGTGGCTTCATATATTACCCTGTGGATTTCATTCCAGTTATTGCCTTCTGTTATTTTAAAATTTAGGAACTGGAAGAGTCATCGATTTCAATTTTCAAAGTGACTGGAAACATTTGTATATGTGTTCATTAGGCTTGCATTTTGCATGTAATTTTTGGAACAGCAATACAGGGTTACCATACAATTATTGTCAACCAGATTTTTTAGTATTTGCACATTATAATTACTCTAAGACTAAATTTTCACTAGGCCCATCGTTGTATTGTTTGGAGCACCATGGTTTTAAGCACAATGCAGCATATTTCTTGAAAATGAATCGCCAAAGTAATAGGTTTGCGGGTTTTGCTTTAATTCATGAAACAAGATGATCAACAAGAGCATAATTACAAAACGATCCATATCTACACTTGATGCCTAATAAACCGTGTTCAGGCACATTCTTACTTTGCGAAATAAATTATTGAAATGCTCTGTGCTGAGTGTTGACAACGTTGAAGGGTTGTCCAAAATGAATCGAATATATTCGAATAAAGTATTCAAATACCTTTTCGGCTGATTTTTGAATAATTCCGAATGATAGCCACTTTTCGCCGTAAAATATGGTGTTTCGTTTTCGTGAGAATCTTTAATCGAATTATTGCGCTTTGTCAAGTATTGTAATGAAGATAAAATAGGCACTTTGATTGTTTATATTCTGTGCGACTGTACGTCGCATGTTGTTGCGACACTTTTACACGGTTGCGTGGTGGACATTGCCGCCATTCCCCTACAAGGCACTTTGATTGTTTATATTCTGTGCGACTGTACGTCGCATGTTGTTGGGACACCTTTACACGGTTGCGTGGTGGACATTGCCGCCATTCCCCTACAAGGCTTCTAATTTACACATTCATTTCCATTACGTAGAAAAATTGAAAATTATTTCGAGCCGTAATTGTTATGATACCCATAAAAGTCGGAAAGCATGTCGATTTATTAGGAAAAATAATTCATACTTTTCCCGCTTTTTGGCAAATAATTTTGATGATGATAGTTGAAAGTTTCGACTATTTACTAGGATGATTTTCTGTCGCGCCAAAAATTCATATCCATAACCGATACCAGCATATAAATGTGTGGTAAACTGCCCAATATTATTCATTTTTGATTACTATTTTCGTATTTAAGAAAAGGATAAATGTGTTATTATTCTAAAATACTACGACAATTTGTGGACATAAAATGTGTGGTAAACTGCCCGAATATAGTTAATTTTTGATTCGTATTTCCATATTTACAAAATAATAAGTATTACCGGTATTACTTCAAAATACAATGGCAACCTGCAGATTAAAAATGTGTGGTAAAGTGCCTGAATATAATTAATTTTTGATTCGTATTTTCGGGCTCAAGAAAAAATTGTAACAATGCGGAGAAATAATTATTATTTTATCACGCTTTTTGGCAAATAATTTGGATAGAGGTTGGTATTTAGATAGCTGACCGTACATTTGAACCCACATACATTAGAACCCATGTGTACATTCGCGTGTTCAATCTATATGGGGGTGCTAAACCCAGGGTTAGGGTTAGAATGGGTTCAAATATCCGTAAAACAACAAAAATTTCCATAGGTGCAATAGTTGAGGTGCAATCGTCGTGGGTTCAAATGTACGTGGGTTCAAATTTAATGGAACCATTTAGATAACATTGATTTATTTCAACTCCATAATCAGCAAAAAGGCGATAAACAGGTTGATAAAAACAAATAAATAAAACTGATTATGAAATCAGGAGAGTAAACAAAACCTTAGACAAGGTTTAAAACGTACAGAACTACAGAATATAAGATATTAGGTATTGCCAGAAAGAAGTGGTGTGTGTTCACTCACCTGAAACTATTGAATCAAATCATTCACACTCGCACACACACACACACACACATACAACCATAGGGCATTAGCAAAATTAGAAAAAAGAGAGAAGTTTTAGATAAATTATATGGTAACCAAAAAATAAATAAATAAACACGTAAAAAAGAAATTAGAATAAAAGATAAAAAATGTAATAAATGATAAGAATTGTTTGCCACACCATACTAATGATTTTATAAAAATTCCCAAACAAGAGTGAACAGTATTTAATATAAGGACAAAAAATGATTTCGCCAAGCTGATTATAATTGGAGTCATATGCCAAATTGCCCAACCAAAATTGCCAAAGTTGATTGCATGAAGAGGTGGGCTAAACGTTTTCATTCATCAAAGACATTGTAGTCCAGATTACATCAGTTATTAAATACTACTGGTAACAGTTTAAGTATAATATAATTAGATTAGTGGATTGATACTGAGGTAGGTACCGTATTGTAATTTATTGGTTATAAAGGGTGGAAGCAGGGTTGTCCAAAACGAATCGAATATCAAAGTATTCGAATACCTTTTTGGCTGATTTTCGAATAGTTCCGAATAGTAGCCACTTTTCGCCGTGAACGTGGTGTTTCGTTTTACGGGAATCTTCAAACGACTTTTTACGCTGCCTTACGTATTGTAATGATGATGAAATAGAATCGGCACTTTGATTGTTTATATTCTGTGCGACCTTACGTCGCATAGCGTTGCGACACATTTGCACGTTTGCGTGGGTGGACATTGCCGAAATGTGTCTACTAGGCTTCTAATTTACAAATTCATTTCCATTACGTCGAAAAATTGACAATTACCGTATTTCCCGGCTAATAAGTCGCTTTTCTAGGCCATCGAGATAAAGCGATTTGTGACCCTTTCGTTTTGCCGATTCAGCAGAACACGACAGGAAAACACAGCTGTGAAATAACCAGTGGACGTACAGTGTATTACTTATCACATTCCAAAATTATTTCAACATTCGGGTTAATAGGTTGTCCAAAATGATTGTCGCTTTACAACTTAAATTTATTAGATTCGAATATTTTGCGCAGCACAAAATCATCTTAGTAAATAGTTCATACTTTTAAATACAAACCAATGGCAACCATTATCCAAATCAGTTCCCAAGAGCGGGATAAAGTATAAATTCTTTTTCCGACTTGTGACAATTTTTCGTGAGTACGAAAATAAGAATCAAAAACTAATTATATTCGGCACAATATCACGGCAATCTGTGGACATAAATTGTGTGGCAAACTCGCGATTAATATTAATTTTTGATTCCTATTTTCGTATTTTCCAAAATACAACGGTGATCTGTGGAATGTGTGTAAACTACCCCATTATAAATAGTTTTTGATTCCTATTTTCATATTTATAAAATAATTAAAGTATTATTACTCAAACATACAACGGCGATCTTCGGACCTAAAATGTGTGGTAAAGTTCCCGAATATAATTAATTTTTGATTCGTATTTTTGTACTCACGAAAAAATTGTCACAAGTCGGAAAAATAACTCATACGTTATCCCGCTTTTTGGCAAATAATTTGGATAATGGTTGGTATTTAAAAGTATGGGCGTTTTACTAGGATGATTTTGTGTTGCGCAAATATTCAAATCCATCCTCGATACCACTATTGCCGTATTAATTCTGTTAACATGACTCATGGAATATAAAATATATACTGCAATAATCTGCAAATATGAAATGCCTAGTAATATAGCTAGGTTGTAACTTGTAGATAGCAGTTATTCCATTGCTTATTGTATGGAAATTCCTACATACATTTAGATAAGCTTCAATTAATGGATTTCATTTTCGAAGTATTCGAAATTTCATATTCGAAAAAAATAATTTCGAATGTATTCGAAATAGTGAACTATTCGGTTTTGGCCATCCCTGGGTGGAAGCAAGGATATTTAAAAGTATGGATTTTTTACTAAGATGATTTTGTGTTGCGCAAAATATTCAAATCCACAACCGATACCACCTTGCCGTGTTATTAATATGATTCTGTTAACGTAACTCATGGTTGCGTTGATTTAGAAAAAAATAATAGCATTACTATTATAAAATATATATCTCAGTAACCTGCAAACATGAAATGCCAGGTGACCAGGTTATAGATACCATTATTCCATTTTTTACGTGATTTTATTTTCGAATGTATTCGAAATTTTATATTCGAAAATAATAATTTTGAATTTATTCGAAATAGTGAACTATTCGGTATTGGCCATCCCTTGGAACAAATTATGGAAAAAAACGCATGTATTTATTTGAAAGTTTAGCGCAAAACTATTTATACTTTTACCAAATCAATATTGATAGCAGTAGCCCTTTTATTCGACACAACCTTGCTGATTCGTTTGGCAAATTGCCTGTTTCATTTTATTCACCCAGTGTGAGTCTCGAATATTAACTATTATGACTGAAGAAATTGGTAAATATGATATCAGAACTATCATGAAAACGTAGTCATTACGTAAGCAATTTTGCCATAATTTTGATAATTAACTCTCCTTCGTAACAATCCCATAATTGCAATATTTCACATACATTACACTTACTGATTTTGTTTGGTCACAAAAGTCTAGAATCAAGACGAAGCCCTAAATTCAAAATATGTAGAGACACAATTTTTTCAATATTTAATGTTAAATCACAACCATGTTGACTGCTCCCTATGAATTTATCGAGGAAAATTTAGTCATTGAACAAATTTTGAGCATTATTGTGAGGTGTGAGTACATGCTATTCACAGTGCCTTAATCTATTTAGTACTACAGGCATTTCGCATTATACCGAAGGCTTTCCAATTTTGTTCGCAGGGTGTAGGACTGATTGTGTGGCACGAAAGTAACCAGAGCAAACATTTTGCCATACTTCATTTTAACTTTATGTGAGAGTCTAGTGTTTATACGAGTTTTTGGAAGGATAGATAGATAATGAGTTATTTCCAATACAAGTACATAATACAGTAAGTATAAGCAAACAACAAAAATTTAAAGAATATATACGGAAGGAGGTGGGCAAAACTTCCAAGGTCAACTGACCCCTAAGGAGAGATTCTACCAGGAAAAGACACTCTAGGGAAGGCATCATAATGGCAATAGGAAGACGATAAATTTTGAGTTTTAGGCCTGGTTAAGAGGCCTCAAAAGTGAATTCGCCAAGAAGCACTAAAATGAGAATAAAAATTACAGAGAAAAAGAACATCACATGATTATACAGATCATAATTTTTTTAACAGTAATAAAACAAAAAGGATAAAAAATTTTATATAAGATAATAAAACGAAGTATTACCAATTCTCCTTTGAAAGCATCATAATAATGAACAAATGAAGCTCGACGTGCATCTGCATTCAAAAGCATAGAAGTAATTCCTGAAACAGCCATTCCATATAAGAAAGCCATTCCAATCAACATTGCAAACACTGAGAACACCTGTTGAAATATATGGTATGGTTTTTTGTTCAGGCAGACAACAAACATATCTGGATTATTCCCGCACTGACATGGAATGACAAATGAGTATTTTCCATCTTTCAATCAAATCATTAATTTACAATTTAAATTGCGACTAGGGCTGTCCAAGCGAACCAAATATTCGAAATCGAATCGAAAATTATTCGAATCGTTTTTCGGCTTCGTCTTCGAGCTTAGACCACTCTCGCTCACGCTTTATTAGTTTTCCGATTTCTCTCACCTTCATTATGCGATAATTATGTCATTCCTAATGCCTGCCCGGTGGCACATGCATGGTCATCATAACTTAAAAGTTATAATCGGTAATGACGAAAAAAAAGCAATTTAGAAAACGATAGTTCAATAAATAGAATCGATTTGAAGCTGTTGAGTTACTTATCATAGGAACATGGTACAGGCAACTATCATGGCAATACTGTATTATCCATCTATATACCAAGACAAATAATTGCACTCTTGACTTCTGATGGCTGAACGAATTTGTTAAATGCAAATTTGAATTTGAGCAACTGTTTTATCTATATATATTAATGGTTGTTTTCATTTTGCTGAAAATAACACAAAAAACATAAGACTAGTGAATAGAATTAAAATAGCATCTTCATGCTTCACATATCCTATTAAAATTGAATCCATTAGAATTGAGATTGCAATTTTTACTCTTAACACTCAACAGTTTTCGAAATCCAAATTTTGGATCCTCCAATTTTTTAGACCAGTTCATAAAAGCGTGTGATCTCCTTTTATAAATCTGAAAACATTGTATTGCAAAATACCAGCAGTAAGTCAGATGTAACTGCACATACGTTACCACAACATGGAAGGGCAGGGGTTTATTGTATAATAGAGACAGATTTAGGATTGCGCAATAATATTCGATTATTCGGTTCGATTCGGCGAAAATATTCGATTCGAATCAAAAAATTATTCGATTTTGGACAGCCCTAATTGCGACTCTGACAGATGTGAGATGTATGTACAATCATATACATCGGTTCCATTACATTTGAACCCACGTACATTTGAACCCATGACAATTGCACCTGTATGCTATTGCACCTATGAAATTTTTTTTGTGTCACGGATAGTTAAACCCATACTAACCCTAACCCATGGGTTTTAGCACCCGCATATAGATTGAACCCGTGGATATACGCATGGGTTCAAATGTACATGGGTTCAAATGTACGGTCACCATATACATCATAACTGAAAAATTTACCTTTTCAGTGATTGTAAAGGCATGTACATCACCAAATCCAGTTGAAAAAGATGAATGAGCAGCCCAGTAAAGACTTATAACATATCTAGGAACCAAGTGCCGAACTTCATCAGTAACATCTTCTTCCATTTTAAATAGATTAATATTCAAACGGTCATGAATTTTATCTAAAAAATCAGTATTTAATATCCTTCTAATACCATGCAATAATGAAATTTATAGATATCTTACACAAAAGGTGATGATATAGCCAACTATTCTCCCGGCACATGCTTATTCTAAATTCTCCATAGCCTGCATTTGCGCATGAAATACCATAAAATCCCAATGCTGAGAAATGAATCACTATGCTTGATAAAGTTATGTAGAGCGTAGTCCTGAATTTAACAGTGCTTGACCCAGGTTCTTCTTGTCTACACCCTGAGACAGTAGAAAAAAAAATCATATAAAGGTTAATAGAAAAATATATCGCAGTTTCTTTCAAGTTAATATATAGGGAGTCCATGAAGTTTCTTAACAAATTTAAAAAAAAATTACGAAGTGAGATATCGCAATGAGGGTTGTTTTATGTTAATCAGTATTTCATGAAGTTTTTATTGACACTAAAATATATTTTTTCAGATAAAATTTCTTATTAAAATTTTATGTTTAATGATTGAATTATATGAACTGAACCCCCATAAATAGACTATTCTTTAAGAAAAAGCGCAATGTGTACCCTGGTTTATTGAGACAAAATCATATGTTCTGACCCAGCGAAACTACAGATGTAAGAATGGAAGAGACCCTCCATCACGTCCTTCTTCAATTCATTCATGGCACAAGAAATTTATGGAGACAGGGATAGTATTCGATACAAGAAGGGGATGACCAAGAACATCTGAAGAAAACACCAAGCATAGGCAAGCCTCCCAACGTTCTCCTATTAATTCCATCCGTACCGCTGCTAGACTATCGGAACTACCAAGTTCAACAGTGCAAGTCCTACACAAGAATTAAGATCGTATGCTTACAAAGTACAAATGTTACATGTATTTCAGCCAAACGACATGCCAAGACGAAAGAAATGAACACGCTGCAACGAATTTCAGAGGATGAAGCATTCCTCAAGTGAGTCTGTTTCAGTGATGAGGCAAACGTTAATTTCTCAAGAAAATTAAACAAACACAATGTAAGAATATGGAAATCAGAAAACTCATACAGGTAGAGAACTTCAGCGAGATCCAAAAGTGAATGTTTGGTGTCGAATCATGTGCAATCGAATAATTGGGCAATTTTTCTTCAATGAGGCATCAATTACTGCAAATGTTTACGGTAATAACCTTCTGACCGAATATGTGACACTACTGATTGACTTTCAACCAACCAACATATTCCAGCAAGAAGATGCACCACCACACTGGGGACCAGTGTTCCCTCCAAGGTGTGCGCGTGCACACAGCTTTCAGAGGCTGCGCACACGCATAGATTTACTGCGCACAGACGTATTTCGATGTAATGTAACAATGTGCTCGGTTGGCAGGTTGAGAAAGTTTGTTGTTGGCCCACTTATTACCCGGTTAGAACGCCAAAATTTCTTCATTGGTTTTTGCACATATATTAATAATTTCCAAAAAATTGCGCACACACCAAAATTTCTGCGCACACATACTACAAAAAATTAGAGGGAACATTGCTGGGGACCTCATGTTCATAAGTTCCTCAATGAAACTTTTCCTGACCGATTGATTGGTAGGGCCGATTCTATGGTCACCACGTTCACCGGACATTATTCCCCTAGACTTCTTTCCCTGGGGTTAAGTAAAGGATATTTGTGCATCGAACACAAAAGTACAGGGCATGACTAACATAAAAAAACAAGGAATTTCCAATGCCATTGATGAGGCTATGCTACAACAAACATGGCAGGGAATTGAGTATCGTCTAGATGTGCTTCGTGCCACTGATGGTGCCCATATAGAAGTGTATTAAATAGAGTAATGATAAATTTAATTAAACATTCAAAAGTGTATTACATGTTTCAATAGAAACTTTATGAAATACTGATTAACATAAAACAACCCTCATTGGGATATCTCATCATTTCACTTTGTAATACTTTTTTTAAAGTGCAAAGCGACCTTATGGACACCCAGAATAAATACCATAATATAGTTTATTAAATAATCATCCACCTATACAAGATAAATCTTACCGATGTAGTACAGAACATAGTGAAGTCGAAGATAGATCTTCTGCTTATCAATGACATAAAACCAATGTTCTTCACCAGGAAAAATATATCGAAGAAATGAGAATGGAAGAATGGTTATCAAATCCAGGAAAAAGCCGACACTGGTCTGATATCTTTCCCGAACTTTTAAAAGATTCCGTTCTTCAACCCCATCAATGAGATGCCCAGTTCGTGATCGTAAAAACATAAGTATGATGTACAACAAATCAGCAAGATCACCAAAGCCAGATGTTGACAATGAGTAATTGAAGACGATGATATAAGAGTTCAGAAACACACAACAGATAACAAAGAAAATGACCACGTGAGTGTAATATCGTAGGTAGTTGTTATACCAAGAGATAGTTCCACTACAAAACGAATATGGTTCAGCAGATTCATCATTTTCATAGCCTGACATGACATTTTCAATATCTTCAATTAGTTTCTGATTGCTTGACTTTTTCAATGCAAGACGATGCTCCATTTGTTTGGAGCTATGTAAGTTATCAGCATCAGCCATTCTGTTTGTTTAAATCTTGCATAGCAAAATTATGAGCCACCACTCATTTCGCTAAGTTGAATATTCTAGTATTTTTATGAGCTACATTTTATTGTCTCTAACAACAGGGCATGGGTATATTAAAAAGGAATGCAGTTTGTTTTACTGTTATAACATTGGTCTACTCCACACACATGGTTAAACTACAAAATAATGAATATTGCTCAGGTATAAAATAATCATAGACAACTTAAAATGGATAGATATTTTGAATTACTGTATTCCCAAAAAGCTTCAAATTTTAGGATGGAACATTGGACATATGGCATTAGAAACAGGGGATAATATCCTGCATATGATAGAAAATGATGATGGGTATTGTCAGCTCTGTAATAACAATATAGTAGGAACATGTAAACAAACATCTATTTTTTAATGTGTTTATGTTCAAAAATTTTGAGAATGGTGTAACATCGCACCTCTCCATTACTATATTTGAACTATGATTTTTCTCCAAAATGTAATACCAATATTAGGACTAATTATAGCATCTGCGAAGGGAGCAATATGGAATTTTTGGAATTATATTATATTTGAAGATATTATACTTACCAATCAATCCTGCGAACAATGTTCAAATGCAAGCTTAAAGCTACAATCAAATATATATTGTATAAGGAACAAAATTAAAAATAATGAGCGATGAATCCATTGATGTGTTTGATAAATTTGTTTTGCTTTAAATATGTGTATGGCAGTAGTTCATTTAAATTTTATTAAAGGTATCTATTTATTGTGGATCATTGACATGGATAGTAAGTAGAAAAACCCTATAATCATGGTATGGAAGTTTTTCTTTTTTCCATGCAAATTAATTATTAATGGTAATATAAGTATATATTAAAACGATGACATGGATCAAATGCGAAAATGATTACTATGATTATGATCCTTTCATAATTACGTTCTTCACTTTTGTTATTTTTTGATAACGACTCGGGGAGATATCCATTTTTTGTTAAGCTTTTATATGGCACAATATACATTTATTGCGGACCAATTAGCACATTTCATTATTCTCTCTACTTGATGATTGACAGTTTCAACATCATCATATAAATGATTTGTGCCAAAATATAGGCAAGTTTTTCTACACATGGAACTTTTAACCATTCTTCACCATCCATAATTGTACCGCCTGGTATATGAATTGTTTCATTTTTAAATTGGTACAGAATCCCTTCCTTCAGTGAAATTGTATAATGATTTTCTTTGTGTAATGTCACACTCTAAATTTTTTTTCTCCTTCTCCATAGACACTTGCTATCTTAGATTTGCCTATTTCTTGACCAATTATGTCAACGACGTTGTTTCTATGCACCCATTGTCTTTTGTCAAATTTAACAATGATTGTGTTTTTTGTTACAGGATTTTGCCTCATTTCTGTCGATCTGCTTTTAGCATTTATTTCGGCATCTTCTTTGCCATCTCTCATCTTATTCTGTATGTCTGAATCGTTTTTTCTTTCGCATCTCACAATCGACACAAAATCTCACGGGGGAACAGAAAATCCAGTCCAGCCTTACAGGAAGTTCGGAGGAATGCATTTTGCATCCTTCTGGCTCCAACGATGCATGTTCAATGCACGATTATGTCGGATCACAGAAACTATGGTAAATAACATATCGATCAGAGTAAAATTACGAAATTTCATACTGCAATAAAAGCGGCAACCCGACGGCCTGGGTCATAGACAGCAAGTCTGATTATACAATAAGACGCACGCTACCAATCATGACGGTGTACTACACATCGCCAGATTTGGACGATGACAGGCCCTAGACCAGTGCTCGTCAACCTTTTTTGTAATGGTACAATCTTTCAAACAATTCTCAAAATCTGGTACACCCCGCCCTGCCTACATTTTTGATACGTAAAATACTCAATATTTAGAAGTTATATATGTTTACGTTGACGCACTAGTTTATTATTCAGTTAATGTGACCGTTGCTCTTGGATTCCATCGGCCATGTGTTATTTTTTTGGATTTCATTTCAATGAGTGCAGACAACCCTTGCTCGGAAAGGTATGTCGTATAAGGGCTTTAGGCATTCGTACGAGAATGGTGACAGCCTTTTGTGAAAGATCGCGATACTCGGGAACTTCTAATAGTGCTGCCTAAAATTAGTTGCAGTTTTTAAATGTTTTGAACTGCCTTTTGTACAAGATTTGATTGTAATTCACGCAGTTCACCAGTTATGTGTTCAAGAGCAACCTTTTCACTTGTGAATGACTGAACGACCCATAACAGAGAACCAAGATTCTGATATTCAACATCCGGAATATAGGCTCCAAAGTTTAGCAGTAGCATATCAAGATGCTTACCGTGTTTCCCCGAAAATAAGACAGGGTCTTAATACAATTTTCTCTCTAAAATTATCACTAGGACTTATTTTGGGGGAATGTCTTTTATTTTCATTTATCAAAAACAAAATTACAAAGTAGAGAATTACTAGATTTTCAAATATGCTTACTCATATATACGTCTTTATTTAAAGTAACTGGAACTGCTAAATATAGATTATTAGTCAAGAATGCATTTGAAACGTGCTTATATTAGAATCATTTAAAAAATCCAGGCTAGTCTTATTTTCGGGCTAGGTCTTATTTTCGGGGAAACACGGTATGTACAATTGATCTCATCTTGGTTTTCATGTCTGCGTTTCCATTTTCCCATCAACGAGTCTCGATGAAATATTCCAGGCATTCAAAATCGAAAAAATCACAATTTGATACATTATTCTACCAAACCTCCAATTTCATTTTAAAAGACTCAACCTTGCTACTAGCTTCAAAAATATCACCTCTCCCCTCGATAATTTTAACTGGTTTGTGATTTTAAATATTGCTGTTAGATAAGACAATTTTGCAAGTCAAAAGATATCTTGAAAACTAGTAGCCATTCACAGTTTTTCTTGGGTTAGAACAGTGGTTCTCAAACTTTTTGAAAAATTATGCATAACATGATATCAAAATTTCACTTCAGATCAAAGTGCTTCTGTGCCGAGGTTAAAGTTGTCTCGCGGTCCCCTTAAGATCGCTTCACGGACCCCTAAGCGACCACGGATCCCAGTTTGAGAACGAATGGGTTAGAAGCATATCGTGTGATAGTGGGTACCTTACAACATTTGGTACGGTACACCCCTGGTACACCCTATCGACGTGGTACACCCTTCAAACTTTTTGGTACACCCTGGGGTGTACTATACACCCGGTTGACGAGCACTGCCCTAGACTAAGGGTGGGCAAATAGGGCTAAATTTTGAATACAGTTTCAGGAAATTATCACAACGTTATCCAACAGCATAGGGAGCACAAAAAAGAGAACATAAAACCCGCTTCTAGTCGCAAGTAGGGCTGGGCATTTTCAAATACCTGATGATTTCAGAATCGCTTTGCAAAAAATCGAAACTCGAATTCTTGGAAAATATACAATTGTATGTGACTTTTTTGTACACACATTTTAAAAAATGTTTCATCAATTACTCTGTGGGTGAAGAGTCATATTTCAGAATTGTGGCTTCTTGGACAAAGAACAACTTGCAATTCCGAAAATGTAATATACCTAATAATCTGCAAGAAATGCGGTATGCAATCTATCGGCGAAACAGGCAGACATTGGTAATACAGGATAACATAACACATCAGGAAAATCAATCAGAGGAAAAAACATCTCATTGTTAGCGCTCATTTCAGTCCACATAAACGACTTTTCGGTAATTGAAATACAAAAACTGTTTCTTTTTTTTTTGCCAAATAGAATTCCAGTGCCAATGATGGAATTAAACTATTTATATAACTTTTGTCCAGATGAAAGGGAATTGATATTATTTATATGTCATTCCCAATTTTGGTTACAGTAATTGATATCAGAATACATGTTTCGAGATCAAGCATACCGACAAACCAAAGAAACTTATTTCATTAAAACTTTGGAACATTGGAACCACTGGGAACATTGGGCGCCGCGGTGCAGCTCATCGTGCTAAGCGTTAGGAATACGCTTGCCATCGCACCTCTGATTACTCTGCGTGGGTTCGCATCCCATGCAGAGATAGTTATGTGCGCGAGGATTGCTGGACTCCCCACCGTCGTAGGATGGTTCACGAAACCGCTGGTCGGTTACGGCTTCCTCCATGCTTCTGAAAACCAGTAACTAGCTAACTCCATATCTGACATGGAATGGTAACCGGACGAAAGGCCGTGGTTCGAAAGGCCGTGGTTCGCCATATGGTTAAGCTATCTTATCGGCTTTCCTCTGCCCCGGGATAAATATGTAAATCCTATCCTATCCACTAGGAATGAACTTACGAGTAGGGCTGTCCAAGCGAACCGAATATTCGAAATCGAATCGCAAATTATTCAAATCGTTTTTCGGCTAATTTCTGAATTACTAAAATTAGGTACAGAAAGCGGAAACCACCTTTGCAGGACGGCGCTTCGAGCTTAAACCACTCTCGCTCCCGGCTTAATTGGTTTCCCAATATTTCTCTCGCCTTCATTTTGTGATAAACATGTTATTCCTAATGCCCGCCCGGTGGCATGTGATCAGCCATTTCATGCATGGTCATCATAACTTAAAAGTTATAATCGGTAATGACGTTTTTGAGAGAGTACACCATTTCATGCATGGTCAAAATAACTTAAAAGTTATAATCGGTTATGACGTTTTTGAGAGAGTACACTATTTCATGCATGGTCATAATAACCTGAAAGTTATAATCGGTAATGACGTTTTTGGGAGAGTACACAAGGAGAAAAAAGGCAAATTAGAAAACGATAGTTCTATAAATAGAATCGATTTGAAGCTGTTGAGTTAGTTATCATAGGAACATGGTACAGGCAACTCAAAGCTGAAACAGGTGTTTTGGGATCCTTATGATGGCAATACCTTCTTTCAATGGAATTTGTAATTTCCTATGATGGCAATACTGTATTATCCATCTATATACCAAGACAAATAATTGCACTCTTGAATTTTGATTGCATATTATAGTCGTCTAACTAGCTTCGAATTTGTTAAATGCAATTTTGAATTTGAGCAACAGTTTTATCTATATTAATGGTTGTTATTATTTTGCTGAAAATTATACAAAAAACATAAGACCATGAGGTCCATGAATCTATTAGAATTGAGATTGCAATTTTTGAATTGTGCAATTTTTACTCTTTAAGTCTTAACACTCAACAGTTTTCAAGATCCAAATTTTGGAGTCCTCCAATTTTTTTGACCAGTTCATGCAAGCGTGTGATCACCTTTCATAAATCTGAAAACATTGTATTGCAAAATACCAGCAGTAAGTAAGATGCACAAACTGCACATACGTTACCACAACATCGAAGGGCAGGCGGTTATTGTATAATAGAGACAGATTTAGGATGGTGCAATAATATTCGATTATTCGGTTCGATTCGGCAAAAATAGTCGATTCGAATCAAAAAATTATTCGAATTTGGACAGCCCTACTTACGAGAGGGATAAAACTATTGTGTTATATATTATTTGAACATTATATACCAGTGGTTCTCAACCGGGGGCCGGTTGCCCCTCAAGGAGGCCGCGAAGCAGTTCCAGGAGGGCCACGACACAAGGCTAATAATTGATCATAAGGCGACTTCGTTTGCATAATTTCCTTCTCAAATGAAAATTCCCTGCTTTGGCGTTCACCGCATTTTCATTACCTAACTAGGTTATTTGCGATCACTGGGTATATTCACTTTCTTGTGCGTGAATTGTTTGATCATAATGGAATTTGGAATTCACCAATAAAAACAGTTCGCAGGTAGGCCGTCTAACCTGCAGACGGGCGGTTTCATCAGACTGCAAGACTTTCGATATCGCATTATAGACGCAATATCCCATATGTAAATTCATAATGCCTTAAATACGACAATAACGTTGGCTTTACCAAAGTAACTCGAGATGACGGAGAATGTGTTCAATGCCTGCATTACTTGTATGTACTGAGCAGTGAATCATTACGTTCAGAAGTGACAAAAACGCAGGTTAAAGACTTTGTCACAACCTATTTGTACGAATCTGTTTTTTCTGATCTAGTTAGCATCAAAACCGTCTCAAGTTTGACAGTGACATTCGTCTGGCTATATCAATGACGGCCCCTAGAAGGCGCTCCCGAAGTATGTGCACCAAGATACGGTAGCTCACAACCTGAACCGTAACCTGGTACAACCACTGTGTTCAGGTTGTGCGCCATCTTGGTGCACATACTTCTGGAAGTCCCCCTAGAATTAGGAACCACGTCAGACAATCCAAAGCACAAGATACCCATTAGTTGTATACTAAAAAGCTTGGCCTTTCTTGTCTGTGGTTTGTTTTTGCATTCCATAAAAGGTCGTTAAAACATACAATCCAACATGTTTAGTTTTTGGAATGACGTACAGGGGGGCTGTCTGTGGTTTGTTTTTGCATTCCATAAAAGGTCGTTAAAACATACAATCCAACATGTTTATTTTTTGGAATGACGTACAGGCGGGCCACGAGAACGAAAAAGAGCCAGAAGGGGGCCACGAACCATAAAAGGTTGAGAACCACGGTTATATACTATTACAGCCTCAATACTTTATTTGAACTCTACCTCACCTCAATGTAGGGTACTTGTGTTTGACTCATATTTATCCAATGTTGGTAGCCCCCAACATGAACTTCACGAACGATGTTGTCGCAGCCCTGGGACACCAGCGTGAAATTGTTTGATCAACCAATATTTATGTTGACCTTGTCTGACCCCGGCCAAACGAAATGTTACAAAAATACAGTGTGCAGCAAGACTCATGAATCAAATAGCTAAGTTATACTTCTATAATTTCTGAA